ACCAACGACTTGTTTAACAACGAGCAACATGACTTCGGAAAAGGTCTATCTTTTTGATGGAGTTTTGCTCTCTGAGCTGGATGGTTTGGTCGTGGAGCTTTCATCGTTCTTCTGAACGACATCATCAGCACAAATTTCAGGCAGAAGTGAAGTGTTCGAATTTCTCCACATGTGGTTCACAGCATGTCATGTACACCTCGATGTTGATTGGTTCTTGTTGACCTTAAACCTGTCGTTGTTGACTTCTTTGTTTTGGTTGTATCTCCCATTGGTTTCAATTTTGTTCTTATTTACAGAACAATAAAACGTCATAAAAACCACCCACCTGAGCTACAAATCTTCTCCACCATCTCAAGGTTTATCTTGCACAACGAAGCTCCTTATAGCAAGAGAAATAGATAGTCAGTCAGTCAGTAACAACGTAGAACTTCGTACGTACGTACATCAGTCCGAGTTGCCACACCATATTAGCACAGAGATGCAGTGGTCGATTCAAATCCCGTAGTGGTAGAGGTAGAAAGAGTATAAGCAGTAATAGGGAAGATTAGTGTTTGGAGATGTTATTCAAGTATAATCCATTGAAATAAATTTGGAAAGAGAAAAAAGAGAGGGACATGAAGAATTCAGAAGATTAGAATTTCGGAGAACACGAAGAGTGGATGCACCTGCGCCATTGCAAACGATTTTGAGCCATGTCATTCAGGATCTCTAACCATCGGTTGCTATCATCTCGCGGTCTCCAACTAGGTAGTCTACACCTACCAACATGACTCAATCCACTTGTCAATGAATTCATGGACTTGTGCCATGTGCTAATCTGGCCACCCCTAGCTTCCTTCCAATCTACTTCTACACCATAAAACATCTCTCGTCGGGGCATTCCATGGTCGGACAAACGTATCACGCATCCCAGCCATCTCAACTGATGAAGTTTCACCACTTCATCAATCGATTTGCCATCCTTACCTAGTACCCGTTTCCTAACAACTGCATTACTTACTCGATGGTCCCAGGATATACGAGCAATATTTCGAAGACACCTATGATCAAATACTAGTAACCTACGGATATCCTCTACTCTTACCGGCCATATTTCACTGCCATAAAGTAGGACGGAACGAACTGCTGCGCAGTAAACACGTCCTTTGGTTGATAGACGGATATCTCGCCTACGCCATAAATGACGCAAGTTGGCAGAAGCTAGTCCAGCCTTCTGTATCCGTGCTGAGATTTCGTCACACACCAGACTACAAGGGCTGATGAGACTTCCAAGATAAGTGAAGCGATCGACATTCTCAACTACTTCACCCCTATCATTTGTTCGGGTGTCAATGCTACCCAATCCTGAAGAAACATTTTGCATTTCGAGGGAGAGAATCGCATCCCGAACATGCTTGCATTGTTGCTATGAGTGGTCAGAAGACTCTGCATTTTGTCAGCGTCTTCACCAAATAAAACTATGTCATCTGCATATTCTAAGTCAACAAGTGAACATCCCGGTAGAAGTTCAACCCCTGGAAATTTAGACGAGGAAAGTGTTATCTCTAAAAGTACGTCGACGACAAAGATGAACAAGAATGCAGAGAGTGGACAGCCCTGACGAACAAAACTTGAGGTAATCAATTCTGATGACAGTTCGCCATAGGCTCTCACTCGACCAGTTATGTTCGAGTAGAGAGCCTTTATAAGGTTAATGTACATCTTTGGTACTCCTCTCAGTGACAAACACTGCCATAGAACCTTACGATCAACAGAGTCGAATGCCGCCTTAAGGTCGAGAAATACTACCATTGTGGGGCGTCTGAATGTGTGTCTGTGTTCTAGAACCTGACGTAGTGTGAATATCTGATCTATACAACCACGTCCAGGTCTAAAACCGGCCTGGTTTTCTCTAATCTGCTCTTCACAAGCTTTCATTAGGCATCGAAGTATTATTGAAACTAATATTTTAGACACTATATTAGTCAAACTGATTCCTCTGTGATTGTCACAAGAGGACTTTTGTCTTTTTTTATGGACTGGGACAATCAGTGATTGAGACCAGTCAGATGGGATTACGTCCAGTTCCCGAATCCTACCTAAGATCTCAGTTAATCTCACTACCATGGATAGAGGCTCTAGATAATGGAAAATCAGTGGATGTTGTCTACAAAGATTTCAGAAAACCATTTGATAAGGTGGGAAAAAAGTATACTACTCTTGAAGCTGTAAAATCTAGGTATTGCCTGACCTCTCATAAAGTGTATCAATGATTTCTTGGTAGGTCGCAGACAGAAAGTAGGAATAAATCCTAAATGCTCCTCATTGAATGTCCTTTACTTTTTATGCTATGTAAATCAACTTTCAATATAGTTGAGTCCCCAATATTACTATTTGCTGATTATGTAAAAATTTATTTATGTGTTCGGATAAATAGATAAAATGACTTAAATATTGTGACTAACTGGTCGAAAGAGAGGCTGATACCTATCAGCGCGGCAAAGTGAATTTATCGCAGATTAAGAAGTGACCTGATTTTGTTGCATAGAATACTAAGAATTTATTTCGAACTTATCGTCTCTTTTTCTTCCAACATCGGGACATCTCAGAGAACATAGCAGGCGAGTAGAAATGTCAAGAATGAACAAAATACCGGTGGCATACAGGTTTCCATACTGAGTCATCAATGCTTGGAACCTGTTACCCGAAGCAGTGGTGTCCGCACTTTCAATTGACTCATTCAAGAGAAGACTAGACACTCAAAGAAGCACACCAGAAAGGAATAACATACGCCACAGGCCTTCTGTCCTTACTACACAAATCTGAATCTATTTCTTGCGACTGTATTTCAAGGGCTTTGAATAAACTGGGAATTGTGACGAAAGCAGATAGTGCGGACGCGTCTTTCTTCTGGTAACAACTGTTCTGAAGAAACTCAACATATTACATAATGTCAGCTTTTACGAACTCAATGAATTTTGTTAGGCTATTTACCAGTCATGTCGTTTAACTGTCTCGCTTTGAGCACTAACACTAACTTCATTTAGAAACATATATTAAATACTTGTTCTTCAAGCATATTATTCGGTGAGACTATAGTTCATGGACGACCTTTGAGCGACTCCAGACTGACCTTGAGTGTCCCTCTAATAACCAGGAACAAATGAGGGTTATAGTCCTGTGCGAGGATTTAGAATTATGATTTACAGTTGACGATTAAGGTTAGAAATTAGATTTAGAGTTTTCATCACGAACTGATATCAGCTATACTTCCAAAACTACATTTACCCAAGTGGATGAGTGAATTTCGCGCCAAAAACCTGTTTTCTTATGCGTGGTTGGTCCGACCATAAATTATAGACTCACCCTTATTTTTCTCAGTTCAAAATAACTTGATATAATCACTATACTTATTGACATAAACGAGGATTAAGATGGGTGCAGGAATAAGTTTTGTATCTAGAACTCAGTGGAAAAGAGGTAAAGCTAAGTAAAGTGTAGCGATCCGTATTTAAAATATCGGTGGACTAGTAAAAAGTTTAAAAACACAAAATATTGCAGGGAACAAACACTACTTAGAAATTAAAAACTCACATATCAGATGAACTAACTACTTTATCAATAAACAAATGATTCTAATTCCAGGCTTTAGGTACCCTTCCTTAAGTGGACATGGAAGTGATCCATATAACAAAAGAAATTAGGACAATCACTACTAAAGCGAAGTCTCAGGAAATCATGCTTTACTTTTACTAAATGGACAAGATATTAACAAGTAAGCAGACTATGTTGGTGAAAATACTGTTGAATTAAAATGACACTATTGGATGGGGACTTGTTACAAAACACATGAAATAGCTTAAATTATTAACAAATACTCAACGCTTTTGATTTAAGTTTAGTTGCTTAATCAAGTTACACATTAGCCTAAGGAAACACGTTTAATTACTTATGATTACCATTAGTGCTTTGTGTACTCACGGCAAATTAGTACATGTATAGTTAAGTCTAAAATAATATATTCAGTTATCTTTCAATTACAGACGGTAGTCTAGCAGTTTTGGGATAAGTGCTAGATAAGATTTTACTGCTGGGTATCTGTACTTAGTCGTTAACAGGCATGCTTAAAGCTTTTGTTGCTAAACTACCTAACTCATGGTACGAAATTACATCACTTCATCTAACTATGCATAACCTCTACATAAACAGTAACTAGTAATAAACTCAGCTACCAATTTACATAAACTTTTTGGTTGCCGTTAGGAAATAGCAACATACGTAACCAGTGATCGCCTATATTCCTTCATGCAAATAAAACCAACTACAAATAGTGCTTTGTTAACTTGACAATGTCTACAATAACAATAAAGTTCAAAAAAATATAATAACTGATAAAGCAGTTCATACTAAATTATAATGCAAGTCATTTACATGAAAATATACTCGACTCCGAATTGCACTTTTGTGAGAACACCAGCGGTACAACTTCGCTGTCCAAACTGAGGCAGATGGAGTAGGGCTCAAAATTGAGACTTGACAGCAAAAAATTAGATAGTTTAATCACTGAGTCACAGTTCTACAGTAGTCCATGTGCAAACAGTAGAAAATATCACATTACACAACCACGTTTCTATATCACGTACTATGGAGAAACAAAATAATACCAAGAATTATCTAAACGGGACCAAGTACTTTGACCTTAAGGATATTGGAAAAATCACTGACAGTTATTATGGCTTAGATGATTGGTATAATGAATATGAGAATGATAAGTATTTGGTCGAAATACACAAATACAATTACCATTAAGTTATAAAGATGAATAAATCGTTCAGAAGGCCAGTCAAAGCGAAATATAGTCAGACCAAAAGTATTACTAATACATTGTACAGAACGATTATATTGGCATTTCAGGATAATACTAAAATAATACCAACTGTGTTATCCATAATTGTTTAATCATAAAAGAAATGTGTACACATGCTATGTGGATAAGAACAACGCTTCCCACATACACACCATTATTTGTCAGTCTTTTTCCTTGATGAATCTAACCCATTTGCTTTTGCTCCATTTTCCACTTTTCCATTATCTAGATTATCAGATTTATGCGCAGTACGCTTACTTTGATCAACAGAACCAATAGGAACTTTTTTCGACTCTGTATTACCACCCAAACCTTCTTCATTTCTCTCAGTTTCACGATTTGTTAATTTATTACTAATTAGATCGTGTAAGGCAAGTATTGCTCTCATTATAGCAGCAACATAAATAACAAGCATTTGGTCGTTAGTATTAACGTGAATTGCACGGACTGTATCATGCAGTTTAAGATCAGGAAGCAGATTGAAAATATCTTGCAACTGGTATATTATACGATGGTTAACAGGAAGCTTGTCAGAAGAAACCAACTGCAAGTATTCACGAATTTCATATAACTGTCGCAATAAACCGGATAATCCATCTAACTGACAACCGATTCTTTGCGATAAAGAACCAAGTGATGTATCCTTAATATCCCTGTAAATGAAAAATTAACAAAAGAAAACTAGTTGGTTAGTGTCTGAAAAAAGAAAAATGAACACCCACTCAAATCTCATGAAATAAATTAGGGTAAATAAGGAAAGTTTCTGGACTGTTGTAATGCTCAAAAAGTAAAACTGAACATCTTAGAATGTTTTGACATCAAATATTCCTTGTGCATTCATTACTAACATATTTACGACTAATTTTACAACTCAACTATCACAAAGGTTGGGGCCAGTTGGTGCTCGTCAGTACGGTTTAAATAAAATCTTTAAGAAACTGATATTCCCAAACCTACATCACCAAGTGAAACAATCAGAAATGTCACTACAGAACGATTCTGTCACTGTGTACAGAGATGTTTTCTAGACCCTGAAGTTATGGAATGTTCCATGTTTAGTTAAATGGCTGATTAATGAAAATACATCACACCAAAACTCATCAGTTGAAGAGTTTGTGATTCTGCATAGACTGAGATGGTTGGGCCACGTATTACTCATGCCCAACCACCGATTACCATGACGCGCAACGCTGACTAGTGTTGAAGACAGACGGAAAAACTTTAGGGGCAGACAAACTAAAACGTGGCATCAGTCCATAAAGTCATTAACTCCCGGTTTGAGCCAAGTTAGTAGATGCAGACTACATGGTTGTGGTCCGCGCGACTATCGAAACCAGTGATTAGAGACTGAGTGACATGTCTCGGAATCGATCACAATGGTGTAGGTGTATGCAGTGTCTGACTTCCCTTAAACTGTGAGATTAAAATTACTTTAAATCTCTCTTTCTACGAACTAATTCTTTCTCCTTGTATCATATCCCTATATGAAATCTTTTTTCATCATCATTGAAGTAACTACTTCTATAAAATTTGATGTTCGTTTTGTGCTAATGAGGCATGGCAACTTGAACTGACGCATACATGTGCCTGGTCCTGCGTTGTAGCTGACTGACTGACATTACATCCAACTGCAAATAATTAACGAAGGCTTTATGCTATGAAATTATTAGGATTATTATAATCTCACCGCAGTAAGTGTTCAACACCAACTTCTTCAGCTTCTTCAGCATCTACTTCCGATCGAAGATGATCAAAAGATTTCGTTGTTGGGGATCCATCCTTTAAAAAAGACATAAATAATAGGTTTGTGTGAAAAAAGTAATAGTCTAGTAATGTACACCAATAGTTTAATTTCTGCATATACCATATTATATTTTCTCCTATTGGACTACACATAGGAAGCTAAATGAATTACTGTAGTTAATTTCTGATATCGAATAACTAAATATCAAGTACATTCAAAAAAAAAACAATTTGATAAAGTACACCAAGATTTGAATTTGGTCTTGCCTATTTAACCATCAAACAGTATTAAAAGGTGAAAAAAGTTATGACCAAACACAAAGCTAAATCGAAAATGCTGTTCATGGTTTGCCTACAAAAAGTAACATCAACATTTCAGGTCTGAAATTTTTTTTATAGTAAGAAATTCAAGAAGTTTACGGCCACAATTCGTGTGAGAGCCAGTAACCTGCAGCGTAAAGTAGGGTTAGTGATATACATATATAGCTCACTCTGTAGAATTCGATAATCTAGAAACTTAACAGCAACCATCGTACAAATCGTGCAATTGGTCTCAGAGGACAGACGTTATATGAAAACAACACAGTCAAAATGCCTACTTAATAACATTCTTATCTAGTTGCACAGACTGCATTCGTATTTATATCAATACAGGCAACAAGAGGATAAAGAAAATTAGTACAAAGCATTATGACAGAATATACGCTGGTTAATATACTCCAAACAGTTTGTATAAAACAACTGTGTTAGACATATAAATAACTCTACGTCACAGTATTTCTGCCTTTTTATAGTAAAAAGTAATACGACAGTGTTTTCGAAGACAGAACTACACATAACAACAAGAGCTCGAAATAATAGTTGATATTCTACTTAGTAAGGGAAAGTACTTAGTGCGAGCTTATATAAACGTACGATAACTTACATCGTGAACTTCTTCAACTGCGATATAAGCCTCAGTGGGTAGCCCATCAATTTCTTTTCTTCTGACATCAACAACTACCAGAACTGAGTTCGGAGCATATTTCCGGAAAAGTTCGTTAATTTTAATATCGTTTGTACAAAGCTTAGGACCGGAGTGATACCAACCCACAATCTTTTCTCGAGCTATACCGGAATAGACTTATTGTAAAACGGTTACCGTTAACTTTTTTAAACATGGTAAACATGCTTTCCAAATAATCGTGGTCGAGAAACCAAACATCCGGATCAGTGGCATCTTCTTCGAAAGGAACTAAGACAGTAAGCTAGTCACGAAAACTTTACCTGCAAAGCTATTGCTGACATCCAAAATGCTTCCATTTGATGAGCCCAAAAGAACACCTACAACTCTCTTCTGACCACTCGTGACTTTTCCAGATCGACTATAGTGATCAACGACCCCCAATAATACGAGTGGATGGACCACGACCTTTTTAATTTTTGTTTGACTGGGTGTTTTCTTTTTACCAGACTCATTTGCGTCATTATCCAAAGTCTAGAAGTAATTCAACAAAGTAAGACAATAATTACCATACTGACAGAGCACAACAACTTAATTAGCCGCGAAGATATTTGAAGGACATAGAGAAGGTTATACTCCAAACCCTGATTTAAATATCCAACATATTTATAGACCAATAGATTTATTTTCCTCAGCTACTTCGTGTATCTTTCCATGGTGGTACCTTTAGCTGCACTAGTATTAATGAATTTGATAGTTTTTTGAAGGTCGGTTTGTCATAGTTTATGTTTGTTGTATGCAGTCGTGATGATGAAATTAACACGTATCATGCAACATGAATATAGACAAAGTGACTGTAATTTCGAAGTTAGAATGAGGTAGGATGTTGAAGATAAATGGATCGTGAGTGAACAAACAGACTTATCAACTGACCAAAAAAACTAAGAAAGAAAATGTGTACATGATTCGAATATGATGAGGAATCAATAACAGGTAGACAAATTCCAGGGATGCATTCACACACGACAAATCAGTGGGAAAACTCCTTAGTATGTAGTGTACCATTATTACGTTAATTCTTACTTACTTACTTACTTACTTACTTACTTACGCCTGTTACTCCCAATGAAGCATAGTCCGCTGACCAGCATTCTCCAACCCACTCTGTCCTGGGCCTTCTTTTCTAGTTCCATCTAATTCTTGTTCATTTTTCTCATGTCTATCTCCAGTTCTCGGCGTAATGTGTTCTTTGGTCTTCCTCTTTTCCTTTGACCTTCAGGATTCCATGTGAGGGCTTGTCTTGTGACGCAGTTGGGTGCTTTCCTCAATGTGTGTCCTATCCACTTCCAGTGCTTCTCCCTGATTTCTTCCTCCACTGGGATCTGGTTTGTTCTCTCCCACAGTACGTTGTTGCTAATAGTGTCCGGCCAATGGATCAGAAGTATTTTGCGTAGACAATTGTTAATAAACACTTGCATCTTCTGGATGATGGCTTTCGTAGTTCTCCAGGTTTCATCCCCATACAGTAGAACTGTCTTGACATTTGTATTGAAAATTCTGACCTTGGTGTTGTTTATCAGAGAGTTGCTTTGAGCTCCAGATGTTCCTCAGTTGTAAATACGCCGCTCTTCCCTTCTAATCCACGCCTTCATATCTGCATCAGATCCACCCTGTTCATCAATAATGCTGCCCAAATACGTAAAGGTTTTTACATCTTCCAAATCTTCTCCGTCAATTGTGATTGGATTGGTGCATTCTGTGTTGTATCGGAGAATCCTGCTTTTCCCTTTGTGTATATTGAGACCTACTGCTGCTGAGGCTGCTGCCACACTGTTCGTTTTCTCCTGCATCTGTTGTTGCGTTTGGGATAGAATGGCCAGATCATCTGCGAAGTCTAGATCGTCCAACTGCATCTTAGATGTCCATTGTATCCCGCGCTTCCCTTCAGACGTTGACGTCTTCATGATCCAGTCGATCACCAGGAGAAAGAGAAAGGGTGAGAGTAAGCAACCTTGCCTAACACCGGTCTTCACTTCGAACGACTTTGTCAACTGTCCTCCATGCACAATTTTGCAGTGTAATCCATCATATGAACTCTGTATGATATTGACTATCTTCTGAGGCACGCCGTAGTGTCGAAGAAGTTTCCATAGTGTTGTTCTGTCCACGCTATCAAATGCCTTTTCGTAGTCAATGAAGTTGATGTAGAGTGATGAATTCTATTCAATTGATTGTTCCACAATCATCCGTAGAGTTGCGATTTGGTCTGAACACGATCAATCCTTACGGAACCCTGCCTGTTGGTCATGAAGTTGGGCGTCTACGCAGTCCTTCATTCTGTTTAACAATACCCTGTTGAAGACTTTTCCCGGTATTGAGAGAAGAGTGATGCCCCTGTAGTTATCACACTTGCTGAGATCGCCTTTCTTCGGAGTTTTGAGCAAGAGTCCTTTTCCCAGTCTTTTGCTACTCGTTCTTCATCCCAAATCTTATTGAATAGAATATGGAGTATCCTTGCAGTTGCCGCTACTTCTGCTTTTAGTGCCTCTGCTGGGATGTTGTCCGGTCCTGCTGCTTTGCCACTCTTGATTTGCCTGATGGCCATGCTGATTTCTTCAATTGTTGGTGGGCCAACATTGATTGGGAGGTCCGTGGGTGCTGCTTCGATGTTGAGTGGGTTCAGTGGAGCTAGTCGATTCAAGAGTTCTTTGAAGTGTTCAACCCACCTGTTTTGTTGCTCTCCAATGTTGGTGATTACCTTGCCTTCCTTACTTTTCACTGGTCGTTCTGGTTTGCGGCGATTTCCAGAGAGTTTCTTTGTCGTGTCATACAATTGTCTCACGTTTCCTTCTCTTGCAGCCTTTTCCGCCGTCGTTGCTAAATCTTCCACATATTTACGTTTGTCGGTTCTGATGCTCCTCTTCACTTGTTTATTAACTTCTGTGTATTCAGCTTGTGCCTTGGCTTTTTCTGCTCTTGTTCGGCTGGTATTGATTGCTGCCTTCTTGTTCCTCCTTTCTTGAATCTTATCCAGTGTATCAACAGTGATCCATTCCTTGTGATAGTGCTTCATGTGACCCAGGACTTCATGAAATGTTGAAGTGATTGCCTCTTTGATCCCCTTCCAGTTGCTTTCCACAGTAGTTCATTCTCCATTGAGTAGACAATGAAAGGCCTGGAACTTATTGCTGAGGACTATCTTGAATTTGTTGAGTTTGTTAGTATCCTGAAGAAAGGCCTATTGAACACATGTGATATTGTCCGCCCCATTGTCCAGTGTTTCTGGAGTTTCAATTTCATCTTGGCGACCAGCAAGTGATAATCTGAGGCTATATCAGCTCCTCTCTTGGTTCTCACGTCCTCTATAGTCCTCCTGAACGTTTTGTTGATGCAAATATGGTCGATTTGGTTTTGTGTAGAGTGATCCGGTGAAGTCCATGTGGTTTTGTGTATGCGTTTATGTGGGAATATGGTGCCGCCTATGACCAGCTTATTGAAGGCACATAGATTTGCAAATCTCTCACCATTTTCGTTTCTTTCTCCCAGTCCGTGTCGTCCCATGATGTCTTCATATCCAGTGTTGTCCACTCCAACCTTGGCATTGAAATCTCCCATTAGAATAGTCAGGTCCTTTGTTGGGCACTTCTCGACGATTGACTGCAGCCTATTGTAGAATTGATCTTTAGCGTCTTCATTGTAGTCGTTGGTAGGCGCATAGCATTGGATGATGTTCATTGAAATACCCTCTTTCTTTGTTTTGAATGAGGCTTTGATGATCCTTGGTCCATGAGATTCCCATCCTATAAGTGCGTTTTGTGCTCGTTTGGACAGCATCAATGCAACTCTTTGTGTATGTGGAGCATTTTCTTCTTCATGGCCGGAGTACAACAGAAGCTCATCATGAGGCGTCATTGTTCTTCTAAATGAAGACCTTCTGACTCCCAGGGCAGAGTTTAAAAGGTTTGAATAATGTTTTCTGGTTAGCGTTTTTTTAGCGAGTTAGTTTTCTACGGGATAGGGTCGCTAACCCCATGCCCAACCCCCTCCTTTATCCGGGCTTGGGACCGGCAGTAGCCCCCGGAGGGACTCCAGGCGGAGTTACGTTAATTCTTATTCTTTTGTAACCAAAGAAGTACAATCTCAAGTGGTGATTATGTGTTCCTTTTTATCACACTTCAAGCATATGGTTCCAGGTGGTTTCAAGAGGTTCTGGACGGAATGGAAGAAGCTTTCGCTTAGCTAGCTTCCGTATCTAGTAGCAGTGGATCTCCAATACCTACAGGTACGAACCTAGATATATTTATCGATAAGAGAGAAAAGTGTTAGTAAATCATAATGAGATACTCTCCTTAGTCGCTTTGACTAGCTCATCTGTCAGCGAATTCCAGAATTTGACTACTCTAAAGGAGCTCCTACAGTCCGTTCTGCTATGTCCTATCTTCAGTATCTGGGTGCTAACCCTGGAGTTTGTGTCGGGACCAAGCCTAAGTAGATGTCAAAGGCAATGCTTTGAAGTGTTTGGGATGCTGTAAGTCATTAGGTCACCTCTGAGATGCCTATTCTTCAAGGGATAAAGATTCAGTGGTTGGAGTAGCGCTTCATAAGACTTGAGTTTGAGTTCCTGAATTGATGTAGTGGCTCACTGTTGGATACATTCTATTATGTCCTTATCCTTTTGGAGTGACGGCGGAAACACCAAGTTTCCTCACAGTAAATGGAGTCAAATAAAACTGTTGAGCATTAAATGTAAAATTTTATCATCGAACCCTTCTCTTTACTTCACCGTGCATCTTTGTTAGTTTATCTGTTTCTAGACTGCCTATTTTCAGGGTTGCTGACAACTATTTTCACAGACGTGTCAAAAAAAATGATGGTCAGCGAATCATCAGCATTCATGTTGCATGTACCCCATGCCTACCTGCGATCTGACTAATTAAGTCTACCGAAAACTGAAAAGCTATTATAATAAAAGACATTAACTACTGAAATCAAGTGAAAGAAGACAATTACGTGCCATACAGAAGAGTAAACATTGTAACCGTTGTTTTCTATTCACTTCTAAAGAGATCACGAGCCGTTTGAGGCTGAAGTAGGTGCTTTTCATCTCACATTATAGTTTCTTTCGAGAAATCCGATACACGTGTGACGAAACCGATTAGGATAAATAACTGCTTTGTTCCCGTATTTTGATATTTTGAACTTCTCGAATTTAGAATAACTTTAACGGCTTTTCAACGTACAAACGGATGTAGGTCCTAATTAATGTCAAAGACAGATCTACCTGTAAACCCAGCAGTCTGTTAATGAAGTCAACGATACCATAAACAATAAATAAGTCCACCAGAACATTATCTTTTGTGTCTATGATTCTGTTTGCAAGATTTTTGTCACATCTCAGTTTCTATAGCTTTCCTAATACTTATCCAGACATCATTTGAGAAGTGTCTCATTGTCCAATCAACTCAGAAGCAGCTGATGTCATTTGTTGACTTAATTGTTGCTTCACTAATTCTTCAAAGTGCTAAAGAGCTCGAAGATCTTATGTTTAGTGACAACCTAACAAAGAGGCTCTTGGACAACAAGATCTCTATTGCTCGTTCAACCTCTCTGTACCATAGTTCTGTGTGGAAGATCTAGGTTTAACTCTGATGATGTCACAGGTATTCAGTGTTTGACAACGCTTCTACCAGTAACACCTTCTAGTGTATTTCGTTCCCACCCAGAGAAATCAAAAGACAGAGTCGAGGAGATCGGAAGAGTATATTTGGCGATGACCAATATATCGGAATTTTCTGACCTAATCTGGCTAGCGATTGCGGTTGATGTTGAACACGGCGTTACCACACGTGATCTGGTGCGGATGCCTGACCGAGCGCCTTCAGCTAGATGAGTCCACTAAAACATATGGTCAGCATCCAATGTCGAAAACTTACAGAGCTATTTAGTTTGGGGATTTATTTACCGCTACAACTCCATTTTCGTGCAGGGTTCATTTAAGAATATCTCCAGTCTGTTATTTTCCTGATGTTACACATTTTAGCTATTATACAAGTAGTGTATTTCGATTTCTCGAGCAAAACTATGAATGAGTCACTGTGTTCTAACATTCTCTGACACCAGTATTAATTATTTCGTGAATTCGAAGTTTTTATCTCATCTCCTGAAACAATGCACTGATCACATCTCAGGTTTATCATTCGCTGTTTTGAGTATATTATTTCATCCGTGGAGTAATCTATCAAATTTCTACCATTTACACGCTTTGTCCGATGACGGGTAGTTCTAGATCGAGATACAATAAATGCCTACCGGCTATTGCATAAACTTTTAATCCCCCGTATTCAGCTGGATAAGAGAACATACCAAGCGTGGAAGAAAAAATATTTTGTAGTGATTTTACACAAATCTGGCTTAACATAATAAAGACTCGCACAATGTAAAACTACTACATCAACAAAAACTAAGTAAAATGTCGGTAAACTATCGCCAGTGACCTGTGAACAGAAGATAAAATAATCTAAATATCCAGCAAACGTAAAAACAATAACTTTTAACAGGATATTCCTTTAAGTTACAGCTCGATACTGGTCCTCTTACAGTATATTACTTCATCAATCACTTGTGTTCTTGCCTAGAAATAATATCAGCCGAGGGACGCTAGTACAGAATTTATATATTTTTTACAAGGTATTTAGTGTCTTGAGTATCAACTAAAATTGTTGGTGAACAACTTTTGTATATGGTTATTTTATATCTTAATTTATTCGGATTTCCATAAAAGTACTTAGTTCGATAGGCAAATACTACTTCTGTATTCTTCATTTTAGTTTTTAAACCGCATACTGGGGATAGCTGCAGCTCCTTCGATAGTTTTGAAGGAAACGACTCAGTAGGAACTTGTAGCCTAACATACTTAATTGTTTGTTTCCATGGTACCAGTGTGTCATACATTCACATATAACATATCGCTTGCGTGTTTTAACATTCTAGATTCGCTAACAGAATCGGACACATAGGTGTGGGCCGTTATCGGAATCATACTACCTACCTAGGACTTTGGTGACGTTTCTCCAGGTGCTGAATTATGATTCTAGAGAGCGGATTTGAAGTGAAATTAGGAAGGGCCCCATTGTATGATGTGGCACGATTGTTTCGTTTGTCAGGAACATGCAGAATATTTAAAAACAAAAAACCCTTACAATTCCAACAACACGAAGTAGGATCACAAAGGACTAGTACAAGTGGATATTTATTCACTCCAAAAACACGACGAATGCAGTCGAAAATTCACTCATATATTAGTTTGTATATCCACTGACTGTTAATTAGAAAAGTTACATAAATGAAGTTAAAGCAAAATTGCATGCTGCTTGTCATACTGAACATAGTTCATGTCAATTCAATCCAGAGGATAAAAATAACGAAACGCGTCAATGGTCTACTGAATAAGATATCATAATCAAATAAAAACAGCCGTTACACTCAGTGATCATCATATTGAAGAGATAATGTTGAGAAAGAATCAAAACGTAATTCTGCCTTCGCTGTCATATCAATGATTAAAGTTTCGTCTCCTAATTATTTGGAACGTTTATTGATATTGACAATTTTATTGCTCATCTTTGGAGGAAATCGAACCGGCCTGTTTACATAGAAGATAGAATATAATTTTTTACCAAACAGACAAATGTCTTCCAATTAATAATCTGATCGTGTCTTGTGGGTATCTGTTGGCTGTGTATAGCTGCTCAAAATCTATTCAATGCCACTTCGTTAAGATATATTGTACTTTTGATTTGGTTCGACGAGTGAATAGCTATTACGTCAAAGTCGATACAGAAGCCTAATTAATAGTCATTAGCGATACATCCAGATAATCGAATTTTAAAACCTAGTTGCAACCTATAGCACTTCGGAACGACTTGCCTGACGTTAGATTTCGATGAAGTTCTAACCCCATATGAGGTTATAAGACTGATGATTAGATTTGTACGTTTAACTGTGTGCATTATAAACGAGTGTGGGATTGATAGGCTAGCAATGTAACGGATGGAATACCTCGTACCAACTTTTGTTCATGTGACTGACAATACCACTTCTGTACTCTGGTTTCGACTTTGTGATGAAATCACGCGAACCAGTTCCATTTGGTAACCCAGGTGCGATAACTAATAGCTCAGCTAAATTCGGACCCGGTTTCTTCGTGGAAAATTGGTCCTTCATCTCGTAGCAAATAGTTTTATGACGCTTCCCATGGATTCAGTCAAACTGATCCAATAAATCTAAGTGTCTATTATTTGTGAACATTATATATATATATATATATACTCGATTTAAATTACGCGCAAATACTTGAATTTTTAGTCTACTATCGCCGAAGGTCAATGAACTGGGGACCGGTATCGACAATGGAGTTCCTCACCTAGTGTCTAGGTTAGTAAAATTACAAAGCAAAAGTCAGTCATATTTAACCTAACCACGACATTCATACGAAAAAGCTAGACCAAACATTGTATTAGACGACATAGATAACAGGATGACAACTATCCTTGGTTGTTTTTAAAACAGTCGGACCTGGAAGTCCTAGTTCTTCCATGGTAAAAAACCTTCTGATAGGCCTAAGCGTTAAACCTTAGCCGACAGTTTGAAAAGGATCTATTTGTCTAGTCAGTTATCAAGTCTTTGGGCGAAGTCTGAATCTAATTTCGTGAGAAATGTACCCAAGACAGTTGAATATATCCATCAGTATATTCTGGGAAGAATTCATCTAAAAAAATTCACCGACGTGATTCTACCATCTAATTCTGAGTATAGTTTGAAACGCTATTTTCACTGTCTATTTGAATCGTATTTCCAATATTTAGTCTTAATTCTTATCACTGTAAAATTATTTCAACTTCTTTGCCATTCACCTTTCTAATTCTATATCGTTGTGCCGAACTGTTATGAACATTTGGGCTAACCCACATTCGTATCAAAGTTCACATTGACTATGTCTGGTTAAAAATTTTTTTGTAAAACTGCTTAAGATTAAGAATTAAAACAAATTTTAACTTAAAACACTATACAGTAGAAATTATAGCAGTAATTAAGTTACAGGAAAATTACTAATTAGAAAAACGTGAACAACAAATATTTGGTTGGGAAAAAAAGTTTAAAAAATAAATAATCATGTCTGATTCTCTGTAAGTAAAATTGAAATAGTTCATTTCAAAGTTAAAATGTTTACAGATCTTTGAAGATTTCTTTTAAGCAGTTTCTTATGTAAATGAATTTTGGACGTTCTGTACGATCAGCTGACCAGCATTTAAGCATTAACTGATAAATATATTCTGGACATTGTGATGGACGTGTTAAACGATCACCGTGTTCCAAAAGTTTAATAATCTTTTTAAAAAAAATTAGTAAAAAGATCTATATCATTTATAATGATAGAAAAATTGACTGAAATCAAAATATTTCGCAACAGATATAAGTCATTTACCTTGATCTGTATTAATAAATCTTGCTACATATCAATGTAGTAAACTTAATTTGATGCCTTCATAAACATTGGTTTGAATAACTAAAATTATAAGCAATATTAGCTTCAATTTACACATAAATAACAAACTAAATAACTAAGAAATTTATTCTAAATATATTTTAGTAGTTGAAAAACCTGGAAGCACTGGAGGTCCATTTCGTCCTACTGTCCAGTGCTTCTAGGTTTTCCATATTGGTTTAGCTTCAATTGACTCATGATCTCAACTATTAAAATTACTATAATATCCACAAAAACCACTTCTGATATTATTTTAAATACTTTATTAAAATAGTATTGATCAATGCTAAATAAAATATAGGATTTTCACAACCTGAATATTTGAAGTCTTAACAATAAACTTCGGCTAAATACCACAATTAAGCTCAATTTCCTAGAATTGAAAACACCCATTTGATAAACATTTGCAATTCTCAATTATACAAATGAATAAAACTCGATTCTATTAAGTAGTAAAACATAAAATGACAATTTTTTTTAATGAACTGAAATTTCCAGAAAAATACTCACTTCTGTATGACTTAGATCAGTAAATGGTTCGACAGCGAAACTGAAAACTTCCCATAAAAAAACTCCAAAAGACCAAACATCAGTATCTGTATGAAACTTTCCTTCTAAAATTGATTCAAGAGGTAACCATTTTATCGGCAAACATTCATTAGAAGTAGAGATAAAATCAACACCAGGTTGAATTGGTCTACACATTGAAAAATCTGATAGTTTGACAATTAACTTTTTTCCAACAAGAAAACTTCTTGTAGCTACATCTCTGTTTAGAATTTGTAAAAGTAATGAAAAATTTAGCAATAAAAAACAAAAACAAGGTTTCTTAAATGTACAATTTATAAGGACTACTTCATGAGAAGCTAAATATATAAGTTAATATATTTTGATAATAAATATCTTTTTGTTATATCCCAATGAGTAGAAAAATTGTATTTCTAACGTTTCGTGGCTTAATTTAAGCCAATACTTCAGAATAAAAGAGTGGCATACATTAAGTCACAAAACATTAGAAATACAATTTTTCTACTCATTGGGATATAACAAAAATAGATTTACTATTAACTCTCTACCCAATGCTCAATTCATTAAGACAATATGATTCGTAAAAGACATACGAATGGTATAATTATAACAAGTGATGTCATAGTTGTACTCAAGTCTCGCATGTTAAACAACATTTACAAAAATGAATAAATGCATTAATTTTACCAGTTGCCTTGTTGATAGATGAAAATAGTTAGTTTAACATAATCAAAATGTGATGTAGAGATATTTTTAAATTTTTTGATGAAGTTTTGTTCTCTGAGCTGGATGGTTTGGTCGTGAAGCTTTCATCGTTCTTCTGAACGACATCATCAGCACAAATTTCAGGCAGAAGTGAAGTGTTCGAATTTCTCCACATGTGGTTCACAGCATGTCATGTACACCTCGATGTTGATTGGTTCTTGTTGACCTTAAACCTGTCGTTGTTGACTTCTTTGTTTTGGTTGTATCTCCCATTGGTTTCATTTTTGTTCCTATTTACAGAACAAGCTGTGAACCACATGGGAAGAAATTTGAACAATTCACTTCTACCTGAAATTTGTGCTGATGATGTCGTTCAGAAGAACGATCACGATCACACCATCCAGCTCAGCTACAAATCTTCTTCACTATTTAAAATTTGTTAAACCTCTATCATAATATAAACCGGTGTATGAAACACATTAAGTTTAAACTAGGTAAACCGATAATTGTAGGGTTATTTAACAAATCGTTTAACTGATATTAACTTGATTTAATCAGGTGTTCATAAACTCTACATTTCAGAAGAAACATTACAGGTCATTCAATAACATTTTAATTATTTAGATTATTCGAGATGAGTGATCATTTGACTTTAATTCAGTTGAGTTTTTCAAATAGACTTTCTATATCTTTTAGTATGTTTTTAATATAATTTTTATTGTAATTTTACTAATTACACTAATCAGTAAACCTTCAAGGATTCTTCATCTCTGTTAATAGCCTTTCAAATGACAAATTTGTATATTGGAGACAAAATAATTACAGAACCCAGATAATTGGTTTGTTAGATTTTCTGAATTGTTAATACTTGTTGAATATATTCCATGAATGAACTCTTTGATGCTAAAAAACAACTGACTCATTAAAAGCGACTTTTATGAGGCGCTTTTTAAATTCGGTAATCTATGAGTACAAAAACATACTTGGAAAATAATAAGCTAAATCTACGGATGTTGTTTGTTTTTAATAATTAGTGGAAAATAATGATGTACTTTTTTTAAAAAAAATAGTTAAGTCAAAGAAAATATTTTAGGTAAAATCACTGATTTGTTGAAGAGTCAACAAACTTGTAGAAGTTTATAAATAGCGAAAATGTTGCACAGTATTTAACCAATTAAATATTGATTAACTCAAATGATCAAATATGAACTTACAGTAAAGGTAATTTTTATTGGTGCAAACTAAATTTGATCATCTATGTTCACTCATAAAATTGCTACAGAGTGTATGTAATATAAAATAACATATGATATATATATTTAGTTTCTATGCTCAAATTATTCTAATTCTTTTAAAAAGTCGAAAAGTAAGAAACTTAGTACAATGTGTGTGTGCAAAAAATTAAGATGAAATTTTGGCGAGACTCTAATTTAGGGACGACCTTTGAACGAATCTAAAATGACCTTGACAATTATTCGCCAATCAGAAGACAGTATAAAGTAAAAATATATTATAAGAAGGTAATGAATTACAGTGAATATTCTTCTTTTACATGATTTAAAAACTTGTTAAGGTTTGATAAAGGTTCAAAGGTTCTGAATTCATAATGCATATGGTATAGAAACTCGTTCATAGGGTTAAGGTGACGAGACTCTAATATAGGGACGAGACAATCAGAAGCGTTTGAGCAATTTCAGGGTCACGAAGCCAAGTTCAACACGTGATGCTAACATACGAACGGTTTACGGCGGATTTTAGAGAAGAGGTGATTATTGAGAGGCTATAACCCTAACCCCTAACGCTATGGACGAGTTTCTATACCATATGCATTATGAATTCAGAACCTCTGAACCTTTATCAAACCTTAACAAGTTTTTAAATCATGTAAAAGAAGAATATCCACTGTAATTCATTACTTTCTTATAATATATTTTCATTTTATACTAACTGTCTTCTGATTGGCTCGTCCCTAAATTAGAGTCTCGCCGAAATTTTAATGTAGAAAAAAGTATGACTCTTTACAATTATATGTACATAAAGCGGCAAGTTAACGGTTTAAAATATTCGATTTTTTTATCATTATATCGTAGGTTCGGTTTCAGATTCTTTTGTTTTGGCTCACACAGCCGAACAATTTAATTAATCAACATAAAAAGTACTGTTCAAGACCAAGTAAACTTGATTACACTTTTCCAGTAAATGAATTAATTACGGATTTATACGGGAACAATAACTGTATTACTAAATGATACTTTAAAAAGCCAGTACATATGAGCATCCATCTACGTGCAACTAAGTAGAATGGGAATAGTTACTTTAGATAGAGGTATCAAAACTGTTTGTAAAGGACTAACCAAACAGAGACTCATTTCAAGAATGACAGAAATGAGATAACGTCATTTAAGAAAGTCCTTAGTTTAAAAAAGTATCGGTAAAGCAAGAAACAGTGCAGACAAAAGTACTTGAAGAGTAATGTAAAACCAAATTTTATATGTATTTTAAACATAACCAATTATTTTATCAACAATTCACTGTTTAAAAAACGAATATTTAGATGATAGATACAGCGTGAATTTATGCAGTAAAACAACACTTGAACTGATATGACTAATTCAATTAAACCACTAAAAAAGAGAAAATGGAAAAGATGGAAACGAAATCGTCAATTAAAAAAATGATATGCAAATAAAAAAAATAATAAAAAAGCGTCAAATTTATTTCTATGAATACACAATTACATTTCAAATATATCAAAAATGACATCAGGTATGATTTGATTATAATCAGCTAATATTCTATAGTCCTATCAAAAAAGCCTTTGTTAATTAACAACAAATCAATTATAACTGATCGTATACAATACATGAAGTGAACTACTAAAAATATTAGTTACGGACGACCATCGACTTTATGCACTAATAACAATAACGGACCTCTAGTCTCCGTGTATTTCCTGATCGCTGAATCACTGACTAGATGACTGGTGATGAATTTATTTTGGGAAAATCATCTACGCACACAACGATAGTAAAACGTTACGATATTTACTGAATATGAATTATGAGAAAAACTCATAGTACCAGTGGAGAGGTTACCGCAACAGTATCATCCTTTCTTGAACGAAATTCCCTGATACTTCCATAGTATGATGAGTATGAAGAATTGGTATATGGATGTATTAAACAGTAATTATTTATGTAAGACAATACTTGATAATTGTTTAACAGTCCTTAACTCAGAAAGATATGATATACAACCTGGCGAAGGCTCATGAATTCATATAGCTTTATCTATTTAAAAATCAGTATATGGATAAATAACGTGTACCCGTGAAATAGAAATCGTCAAATATAAGTAAATCATAATTATTATTAACAGATGCAACAGCAGAACATGTAGTTCAAATGATCCTATACACTCAGTAGTGCAAAAAGCTGATGAATGTCACGAGACAAAAATAATGCATATACACTAATTTATACATCCTCATAGATTATGAGCACACTTTAATTGAAATGAGAGTCATCTCTTTAGATATAATTTCTAATCGATCGCTTTCACAATAAAAAAACACTGTTTCATTGATGTATTGTTTCATTCACACTACAAAATTGAGATAGACAGAAAACAATAACACATTTTCAACTAACACAATATATGAATTATAATGTTGATAAAAATACAAACAAATGATAGAACTAGGCTTGTATCTTCTTTTTTCTAGAGACTGAGGATAAACGAAATTTAATTTTCTACTAACTTTTTTTTATGTAGATTTATATCATTAGGAAAGATAGATTAAACCCGTTTAATGAAACGCTTAAAACTTCAATATAGTTTCAAATATTGAAGAAAGAAAAGGTGAATGATAAATAATAAGGATTGACATGAGTTTACAGGTAAACAGCGTAAATGATACCAGAAAGAAGTTAAGGTGAGAAAAAAGGAAATACCGGTACATCGCAAGCGAGAGGTTTCTTGTAAAACTACACGGCAGAACGCACAATTTTCTACGGCTACTCCCCTCCAAACAAAAATCTTTGTTAATAACTTTAGTTATTTGTTTTTTAGACAATGAGTTAGTCAGTCGTTTTAAGAAATACAAGAATTGTGCCTAAAAACATTTATTCGAATGTTTATTAATGAATGGGAATATATGTTAATCAGCTAAACGGTAGTACTGATTGAATTATTTATATTGAATAACGTTCAAGTGCTGTTTGGGATCAAATATTACCCATATCGAGACATCACCCTCATCGGATATTCGAAGAAATCAAACTATTCGTTGATGACGTCAACGATATAAGTCCTATTAAGTTGCGATTGAGTAAAAATGACAAATCGATCGATGAGGTAGTGAATCTTGGATCAGCTGAGGCGATTTGAAAATTTCTACCTACCGCGACACGCAATGTTAGCTGGTGTACGTTGAGAGGAAGCCAACGAGTGGTATCAGGTCATGAAGTTATTAGTTGTTGGACTATGTCGTGCAGGTAGGTGCTGCTTAGCTGTTTGAGGTTCTCGAGAGCAGCGGTTGGAAATATTAAACGGTATACCTCATAACCGATCTGAATGACGCAGATTCATCCACTCTGTATCTCCCTTAGGATTTTAAACTTTAAAAAAATATTTTTGCACTTTTTATTTCCGCAAATCCAATCTTCCTTCTCAAGTTATATTGTCAATGCCCAATGTTCTCTTTTACCATTGATACTATTACTAGCTTTACTATTAATAATTTTATCCTGCTACGCAGCTTTTGTATGGTAACTTGAACTAATGCATGTATACTTTACAGGTTCAACGTTGTTTAAGACCAATAGCATAAATGAAGTAATTTAGCAGCATTCCTAATTCTTGCATATCATACTGTTTCATACCTGTTATTATTTCCTTATTTATTGTCGTATGTTACTACTTTAGCAGAGTTGTAATTTATATGTAACTAGTTATATTCGATTATAATAGCATTTACCTTTAAACCAATTAGTTGTCCACAAACCATCTAAAGGAACATTTTTATTTAAAATTATAGATTAGACAAATCAGTAATTTTATTCATCCAAAATATCTGTCTAGGTTTTGACCTTTGTTATACACAAATTCCTTCAGTTACCTTTACGTAACAATTCATCCTATTATTTTGTATCTCTCACTTTTGTTGATGTTTTACGAACTAATGGTTTTATTCCAGTCAAACGTTCATCTCAATGACCTCGACAAAAAATGTGACCAGTTTATATTTTACAAAAGTTCACACTATTTCTACTGATTACCAATCAAATCTCTGTTTGTGAAATTGGTCATTTATTAAGTATCATTACTTAATTACTTGTAGTCTGTAGATTGTATTCGTTACAGACTGATCTCATTTATATAATTACTACAAACCAGGAAGTGCTAGACAACTGCTTCATCCTAGTATGGGATTCTTCAGGAGTGTGCACCCGTGATCGTGCCAAGGGTTAAGTCTGAGACTTAAAAGTCTGGTTGAGATAACCAAACCATCAGAACAACTGTGGCGAATTGGTGAATAACAGAGTATATATATATCAGGAGTAAAACAGCTGTATACTATAATTATACCTCATAATAAAATCATTCACATTGCACACATGTGATAGATAGCACAACATACTAGAATTCAATGAGAAAACAATATGAATGTAGATTTAGAAGACACTCTATCACCGGATAGTTAACAATACAATCTTTTAAAAAGTTACAAAGTTAACTGTCTCCAAGGTCTTCATAGACTAACAAGTATTTGTTAACTTTTTTTCCCCAGTATTCATCGTCAAGATCTTAAATTATAAAATAAAATATGCACTTACGTGATACTAACCCCAAAGGAATGTGAGGAGTAATAAATACCATTTTTTCTCTGATCTAGGGTAAAATTCACTCTACAAAACTTGATATACAGAACCTAATTATTATCTGATTTGACAAGATTTGTATAAAATAAAAAAAATCGAAAGGAACACATGGTAGTGATAAGGAAAAACGAACCTTCTATTATATTTTTTTAAACGAAATCTATGAGAATCATGATTAATCTTATGTAAAACTTTCCGTTTGTTTTGTTTAAAGTGATTATCATATTAACAATGCGATATAACATGTACTATAATTGATTAACAAAAAATAAAGTAGAATGTTTATCTATCAACGATGGCTTGGGTGAACGAAGATGTTACCACCTTTTAAGTAAAGATAAGTTTCACCGCACAGCACCAACAGTTATTTTACTACATTGAAAGTTTTAGCAATCCTGAGTCAAAAATGAAGCTTATTATGACAACGAAACAAAATATCATACGTTATTGCTCACGCTGAGATTTTATCTTCAGTGATAATAGTTTCGTAGTCTAATTAACGAAACTATCAAATTATAATCGATAAACTTTTAACAAGTAATTTAACGCTTAACTGAATTCTAATTATCATCATATGAGAGTAGACTCACCTATGTACATAATGCAATTCGCTTAAATAAACCATAGCTTCACAAGCATCAATCACCATTTCAGTGAGGATTTTGACATTCAAATTGGTAGGATATTCATTAATGAAATCCTTTTTAGGAACCGTTGTAGTCTGCAACAAGGTTTGACTATATGAATTTACTATTTCCCCGTTGACTGTGCCTACAAGAGAATCTACAATGGGAAATAAGTAAGAAACATACTTACTGTATCCTGGTGATTCACCGGTGTATCGGCGTAAAAATGAATAAAAATCACCAAAAGGCATATATTCAACAAGGAGTGAAAGTGGTTCCAGTGGAATACAAACACCTAAAACCAAATTACAAGTAAATGAATATGGATTAAAACTGACACAAACACACGAAATTAAAAAAACTTATTTAATAAAATTAATCTAGGATAAAAATGAGCATACATTTGTGCCAAATTAATTGGATTTGATTGACGAAATGAATCTGGATAATTAACAGTGAATTAATTAAAGTACTCATTAGTTGTTTTATTTATTTGAACACATAAATATTGGCACAAATGGGCACCGAATACATATGCGTCACATAAGTCACTTGGTTTTTGTGTGGGCTGTGATACTGCCTGGGTGCCCAGACAGAAGCAGATGGTTTTTTAGGTGGTCACTCCCAGGACACTGGACCTGAAGGTCTGATTCAAAAGGCAGTGGAGCAACGTCAGGAGATGCAGTCCTCTCAATCCCGTAAACAGCACATGCGCTGCGAGAAGGCAGTGAGTAGGACTTCCCTGGCAGTGGCTGTATACGCGTAGCCATGTGAGAACATTTCGAGAGGGAGAGCTAACTGTCCCCACCCTCGGCCGTACCAGGGCATTTGGGGGTAATATATTCACAAAATAATGTATTGTGATTCTGTGCCTAATTAACTCTTCAGTTCAACCTAAAAAGTTAGTAAAATGAAAAAAATAAGCAAACGATTAAAAAGTGAAACAGTCCAATAATAATCAAATGCAAAATTGAAAAAAGTTACAAGATCTATTATCAAATATAAAGGTGGATTGGATAGAACAGTTTTACAATACCTAACAATTGCATAATATTTCTATGCTGTAATTCAACCAATATTTCAGCTTCACGAAGGAAGTTAGCTTCCGCCTTTAGATTAGAACCTCCTTGAATCATTTTCAGTACAGCAATACAATTATTTGATTCATCGGAAGATGACTGGACTAGAAGTAAAATTTAAAAGATTATATATATATTAAAAGATAAAGTCTACAAGTATGTAATCGTTAAAACTCTGACTATCACAAAGATTTAATAATCGAATTTACGGAAGAAAATTATTTCAAGTATTATTAACCTAGTGAGTTTACAATATTCATTATTGTTAGATATAATGATATCAAATAAAACATTGTTATAGGACTGATATTTTACTTCAAAGATGAGCAAAAGACTACATTTTGCATTGAGTTGAAAAGTTCTCTTTAAATAAAAAAATGAAGGCTAACAACTACACACTTTTATTTCATTAGGTTGACCTTCAATGAAAAACAAAAAAAATTCTAACAGATCGATTTGATCGAAATCCCAGAGTATATGTGTAGTGGCTTAGTGGTTAAAGTATTTGAATTTAATTATTAATTCATAGGTTCAAACCCCGCTCCACCTGCTATAAACTAAGTAACTACGTATTATCGTTAGCCTTCGCACTTAGAGTATGGCTCATATCCAAGTACCAGGAAAATGAATTCATTTAAACTTTATAAAAAGTATGATGTATACAAGACTAGGGTTATACACCCATCAAATACAATAAAATTACATTAAGTTTACATTTAGAAAATACATATTACCTAGAAAAAAGACTTTCTTTTTGTGCTCAAAAATACATCTACAATGATAAAACGTGTAAATTGAAAACATTGACGCTGTTTTATAATAATTCATCTAACAAGTACAAGTTTGTTTATCCAACATTCAACTTAACGATGTTTGTGGGAGCATCATGTGATAATAATCTTGACGTTGAAAAACTCAAATCTTCAACTCTGATGACTGAAAGTTAAGTCCTTTAGGCATCATTCTATTGATCCAGGAACATTTAAGGTCAGCAAAGACTTTTGTGAAAATTTAAACGAACAGTTTCAAAATAGTCGGGTCCCGAATATATAGGAGACAATAAAAAGGAAATTTTACTTGTAAAACCTCAAACGATTGAAGTTAAAAACAACTCTAATGTATTGCTCAGCAGTCTAGCCCGAGATTTTTAAATATCTTAACATGATTGAATAAGTTTAGTACACAGATATCTTGTGAACGCTTTCTATATTCGATAATTTTAATGTTTGAATAATTCCCTGCAGACGCTTAGACCAGACTCCCAAGTGAAATGTTAAAGTTATTTTTGGTTTCAATCGCCGAGACTTTTGTGAACATAATCTCTTTTCTAATTTTCGCTGAAGATAACATAAAAATGAAAGCAGAAAGGAAGGAAAGAAGCATCTTAAGTGAATAGTCCGAATTACTTCAATATTATATCTCTTAATTGATAACTGTAATATGATGTAAATCAGTTGTTTATAGTGAGGATTCATTCAAAAGGCTAAGAAAAAATAAATGTAAGCACTATAAAGGTGACTAATATATATCAATTCCTAGTAGGTAATATATTACTTATAATGTACAGTGAACATGTTCATACAAGAGATAATAAACGATATGATAATAAAATCAATCACTATGGTCAAATACTATCAACATGTTAAAAAAAGAACACCTAGAAAGTAAGGTAACTTTCTAAAAATGTTGAATAAATTTTTTTAAAATGAAAGTGTCATAAATCCATTTACATACATATATATCTTATTTTCAGGGTATGCTAGCTAATTTATTTGATTTTCTAACATGAAATTAGGTGTTAAATTGAGACAATATTTTGCATTTAGGTAGAGACAATAAAGTGAATAAGACAAGAAAACAATGCAAAATTTTACTATCTTCACATGTTATAAGACTGAAATTCAAAAAACAAGCAAATATCATTTAATGATTATTGAAATAGGATAGAAAAGTGCTGGTTTTAATATAAAATGTATACGTAAATCCCTGTAAAAAGCGGAACTAAAATAAATATGCTTCACACAAAATAAAAAGATATTATTGTGAACAAGCAAGGGAGAAAAGAGGAGTACAATCAAAAAACGATAAAGTGAATAAAAATAGTATATTATAAGACATACATGTTGATTAAAAACACAACCAAGAGAGGCTTCTTTTAGGTAAGGGAGTTGCTCTTAATTTTATGAATAATTTAAAAGAAAACTACGACAAGATCCCCAGTGGTTTCAATTCCGAACCATGTATGAAAATTTCTTAAGCCACTGAGTAATAACATCTTCAGGACTCCGGCCGAGGAGTCGTGATGTACCAACAGATACCAGTCCTAGATAGTATTTATTTATGCGAAGGCTTCATGACAGGTAACCGATAGGAAAATTCCGTTGAAAATCATTCCAGAAAGTTAGTGCAAACGATAATCTAAATTTAGATGAACCATCTGAGTTGTAGCTAAAAGTCATTCATGATGGCAATTTAAGAGACCTAATAAAGAACATAACCTTCTCACAGATGAATTTGCTATTACATATTGGGAATGATGTATCTCTTACGAACAAAATCGTAAATCCACGTTTTAAATGGAAAACAGTATTGATGGTCATAATGTGAACTACCAAAGGTCAGTTGTATATGTTTTAATGATGAAACAGTTGAGAATTGTACAACTCCTGGCACTAATACTACTTCATTACTGAGAACGTTCGTGATAATAGTGTAATTTCACGAAAGATATACCAGCTAAGCTAATGAACAACGGACTGTAGATATTTTTTGTTTACAAAAATTTCGAAACAACTACGGCCTTAACAACAGAATATGATTTGTATATTTTATAGAAACTAAAAGTTGCTTCCATTTACTTATAGAATACTTAACAATTACAATTGAGAAATAGACTATGCAATGATTTTAGACTTTTCTGATAACAGGCTAGTTATGGTTAGGTAAAAAATAACTCGTATTACATTTTTTAAAGAAAACAATGTTGTTAATCTACAGTACAGAGAGATTAATTTATAAATAAACTATGACGAAACAGCAAATGTCCATTATTCACATCAGGATCACATGTTCGATAACTGATAAAGGTTGGTTGGCCAAAAGTTGGATTTAAAATTTATCTAATTGGTTCGGTATGATGGAACTATAAATTTCAAACGTCATTTCGTTTAATGAGTATAGGTTTATGTACTACCTTTAAGGCATAAAGTTTGTGCATGAGGGAGAGGTCTACATGAACAACAGCTGCCTAAAACGCAACAGATAAATGTGGACTAAATCGAGGATCTAATAGTTATCAGTCAAATGTATCGACAATTTAGCCAATAATTCATACCATTATTAGTTTCCCTAATACGTGTTTAAACCAAGTAAAATGTGCAGTAATCAAATCGATCGGATAATTACTGAGATACTTTCTATTAACATAAAAGCAGTTATAAACCAAAAAATTTAAAAAGAATTTTTAAAAATTCTATACCGTCAATAGTATTTTCTTTTTCTTGTGAACTAGAAGAGACAAGACCCAGTCTTTCTGAAGTTGTTAAACTTAACAAACGTCTTCTATGGACTAGTTTATTCAAATTTGGAGCATGTACTAAGATGATCCAACCAAATGCACGTTTAGCTAAACAACATATTTCAACCAGACGATTGCGAGGATAGCACAGTGATTTAAATCTGGAACAGAGATTTTAAAATAACTGGAAATTATGTTATTAATTTAAACATTGATTACTGAGGAAAAGTGTAAGCATATTCTACTTGAAAAGTTTGATATGATGGATTTCAGTAACAGACAGTTAAGCCTCCTTTTTTAGCAATTAGAATCCAATTACAGAACGAGGACTAATGTATCATTAGGCAATTGAAGTATTTATTCTACCACAACATGATCAGATTACCTTGTTGACAAACCATAAAAGAATGTGATCACATTCTTTATGTAATATTACATTATGAGTATATATAAATAAGAAACAAAGTAGGCATAAAGGTTTCGCAATCTGTAAATGAATAAATTATGTTAAGCAATCAACACTTACTTTGGATGTAGCAAGTGATTCATCGAGGCCACATTAAATAACTTTTCCGGTAATATAGAAGAACCTAATTCAGCAGACCCAGATGATAGTGAATAATAGGATGATTCAATCAAGCCAAGAGTAGTTGGAGAAAACTCTGAATCAACCTCATGGTCATCAATCAACACGTGATTATCTGAGCAAGAGTCACCACTAATAGGATGATCTGTAGTTACTGCAGACGGAACACCAGTTTGTTTATTTTGAGAACAACGACAAGATGAACATGTATCTGATAAAAGGTTGCTAGCAACTCCACAGATCACACAAGTATTTGGTGAAGAATCGATTGTTTTAGGAGGTGAGATAATTGTAGGCACATTGGTCACATAAACTACTGACTTATCCATTCGCATTCCCAATGTATTAGCCTCAAACTCTTCATCAATCAATTCATTTTTAGTTACAGGAAAACTATGTACAAATTGAATCATTTTGAGAGAATCGTGTTTCGATTTCTTGCGAAAATTCGATAAACAGAAACATGGGCAAACAGATGATAAATAACGACTATGGCATACATTAGTCATAACATTTTGATTAGATACTGAAGGCGTGTTTTTATCTTCAGTATATTGTGTAACAGCAAAAACTGAATGGGATTGACTAGCTGTATGAGATGAATGTGTGAAGTCAACAATACGATAATATGCTCCAAGAATACATTTGGAACATGGATTAAGTTGTCTAAGTCTACGTCGACGAGTTAATAATTTTCTACGTCGCTCCAAATATTTTTCTTTGTTAATTTCTGTAGAATCATAGAGATGCTCAGAAAATTGTCTCTTTCCATCATTTTCTTCGTTAACACTATTTACATCTCCTGTAAGATGAGGCTTGTCAAAATCTAATTGAGAAAAGTATATATCCGATTTTTCAATATTTTTTCTAGAACAACGATTTATGAGCCAAATTATACAACCGATGATTAATAAACAAATAACCAGTCCAACAATTGAACAAGCGATAATTGTCTAAATAGTTTGTCAAATAAAATTTATATGTTACAATTAAAATTAAAGCACACAGATCTTAACTTATCAATGTCAAAACAGTATACAAAAAAATTATTTCAGTAACAATTTTCGTTGTGATAAACTTTCAGAACATTATGATTTGACAATCTTAAGATATAAGAACAGGAATTTGTTAATCAAATACACTAGTAACGCTTTTACTTTCATATAACAATAATAGAATTTTAAAAAGGCATATAAAATTTCGGTCTTGCCCACTAAATTTTGTGTAATATAGAACTAAAGTATGTTTCATCATATTTTCCTCACCAAATTGTTAAAATTCATATTGAATTAACTACAAATCATTTTCTGTTGTCAACATATTTGTGAACACTGAGGTGGCATTGAGTATACCTGATGCGTTTCAAAATAGTGATCAGTTTAAGCATTTTTAAAAAATAAGATTTGGTATTTTTTAGTAACTCCATGTACACGTCACAAAATAAACGCAATACTAAATATCACTAACTATTACTGGGTTAAAATTCAGTTATTTATTCATAAATTTAATTAATTCACTTTTAAGTAATAACAATGGCCACGTAAATGGGGATATGAAAAAAAATCATGAATGTATTGCACAAAATGTTGGATTTTCCAAGATTAGAAATTTCAGATCAGTTTTTTTGAACTTCTATGCTTCGGTTACTTTGATGTAGATAAGAGGATCAAAACTTACTGATAGAATAATAGATATGTATGTCATTTTACTATGAAAATGAAGTACGGAGGTGGGAATACCAACCACAATAAAATAAACAAAAATATCTACTTAATTTGGTGATGGGGTAAGAATCACTAGATATGATTTTACTTTCAGCTAGTTGAAATTCAAAAGTAAATTGAATATTTCATGTGGATATTTAGATCTTTCAATGATTTGATGATATATATGTTGGTAGAGTGTTTTCGTTTTACTTATCTATTACACTTAGAGCCCACATATGTAGGGCTTATTTGATAATACCTACAATCTACAAAACAATTCCATTGTAGTATAATAATATAGTAGAATACTTCTGAATTTTTACTGAAAAAACTTAATTCACGACATGAAACTATCTGTTAAAAAACATCATTACAGGTAATAATCAACGAAACGTGTCACGCATATATATATATATATATATATATATATATATATAAATTAGTAAACTTCTAGAGTAAAGATCACCAGAAAAATAGAGAACAAGGTACATAGAGAGAACGAAAGACATACATATCAGAGCACTAAGTTATGGATATGTCTATGATTATAAATGCAGGTACATGTAGCACACAGCCAGTCAGACAATTTAACTGTTCTGTACAAATTACAAGAAAGACCTCCGATATTTAAAGTAATAATCGATACAATTTTAAGATGAATACGAATGTAAAACACATATATTGACGTATATATATTGATGCTTATGTAGTAAATTTATTGATAAAAATGGTTAATATTCAGAACAGCACTTTCCTTATTAATATTGAATGGTAACAACCATGTTAAGAATAAGAACAATAAATACATTACATGTACTTTATATATATATATATATATATATATATATATATATATATATATAATACTAATAATAAGCATATAGATTACAGTTAGAATAATGAGGAATCCGAAATGTAATTATATTAAGTCCCTCACATCTGTTGAAAGATAAGGAATAAATACATTGATTTCCACTGTGACACAAGCTCTTCCATCAAGAAGTTCACATTTACAAACACAAGTTATTTAAATAAATTTCGTTTTGTAAAGAAATACACATCAAGTTTAGTAAATAACAAAAATGGAACATTTTGAAGGTTCAATTTGCAATATCTATCAACTAAAAATGACTTTCTAAATGAAATCTAATTAATTAGATTTTACTGACCAATGATAAATTATTGGACACATAAAGACTATTAACATTCACTATCCAATTATTTAGGAGCGTCATGGAGTCCCGTTTGAGTTTTTAAACACAAAATAATTAATATTCTGTTGCACAAATGATCTGTAAAAAAACTAGAATGCATAAATTTCCATTATTCAGTTAATACTTATTTTTTACTGATTTCAGTAGCATACGACTAAATCATAAGTGGTGGAGAAGAAACATTGAGAAAGAAGAGACCTATATATCACTGGAACAGGCAACGTAACTACGGCAATGGACAATCAAGTGGTTAATATAATGTGAAAAAATAGTTACCGAAAGTCTTACCAATAACCAACCTTTCAATACCATGCTTCCATGCGACGGTCTTAAAATTATTTACTTAAGACACAAACTTCAATATCTGTATTTATTATTTACTATATCTGTTATTATTAGTCATAACGAAATGAATAGAAAGCTTATATTGAAACCGGAAGCAAAACGGTAAGCTTTTAATAACAGACTTTTTGTACAATTAATTAAATGTTTTATTATCAACTTAACCGTTTACTGCTAATCTGAAAAGATTTTTTTCTCTGCCTTATAATATTCGCATTTGGGATGATTAGAACATATTGTTTCTACATTTTTTTGGATAGTTTTCCACTTTAGTGGATTCTTTTTTGGTGAAAAGTGAATGTTATACCTTAAAATTTACTTTGATATTTAGTTAAGGTTGTTCATTATCCTGTTTTTTGATAACAAAATCAGTGAAGTAAGAACAAACTAGTTTTGTCAATAACGTTTAATGCTCACGTTGTTCAAACTGATAAAAAACTAATCAATTTGTGAAAAAAAGAAGACTGATTAAAATAGATGAGGATAAAGCGATTTCGCGACCATCTACCATTGTCTGAGGTAGATGCCTGTCTTCAACACAGATTAGCTAGTGGATTGATTGAAGTTAGACATGATCACCGTCGGATGCCGTCTCATTGGTCTAGAGGTTAGACGTTTGAGCGCGAGACGGAAGGTCCTGGGTTCGAGTCCCGTGTGTGGGATCGTGGATGCACACTGCTTAGGAATCCCATACTAGAACGAAAGGGCCGTTCAGTCCTTCCAGGTTCTTAATGGTTGTATAACATTAATCGATTCATGATCTCAATCAAAAACTTAATCTCCATAACTCCACACTGATTATTGACAAGACACACAATAAGAGAAATGAGCACCAATAGAAAAGATCTTATTAACCTTTATTTTTGTTAAGAAAGATTTATTCGATGATATAGCAATTTTCATCTTACAATGTTTCCAAATCAATTACAATGATATTGTGACAGTTCACCTTTTATTAACGTGCAAACAAACAATCCTTATCTAGGGAAAAGTTCTCTAACATAATCATACAAATGAAATCCGATGAAAAAAGATAAATAAATTTCTTAATAAACTAAAACAACGTAATAAATTGTGATTTGTCGTATCATTTATTTGCAAAGCCACATGAATGAATATACATTGTATTTAACTGTTAATAATAAAAAAAAACTTCAAATGCTACCATAAAACATACCTGTAGCTGAGCCTCTGTTGTTTCTAGACCACTAAGCGATACATCACCAATGGTCCAGTTATGATGATAATCACTGTTGTTACTGGTCTCTGAACACTGAGGAATTTGATAACAAGAAGTTAAATACCATTCTTCCAAGTGGTTAGGCTTTGACTTCATAGATACATCTGGAAAATTTTCTTTGTTGCCTTTTCGACTTAAACAGAATGGTCTTGATGCCAAACCAGACGGATTGCGACACACGGCTGACGAACTGGCTTCAAGACCTAAACTTCTAGGGAAAGTGAAACTATTTAAACTGTAAAAACCAGGCCAAATGCCAGGTTGTAGATTCTGAATATTATCATCGAGAACAAACAGATTAGTCCATGGTTTACATTCTGGCATAGTAGCTAAACCTCTGTAATTTTCCCCTTTGCCGTTGATGCAATCAACTAAATAAAACAAATAATATACACGTGCTTTGAAGATGTATTACACAAGAACTTTTTTATTATAAAAGTGACAAAACTGAATATTCAACTAGCTCGAAAACAACAAAATAAGTATATAAATAAAAGTCATCAAAGTATGATATAAATAATTTTCGTTAACATTCATTTACATTATGTAAGGAGAACGGATAAATAACATTAAAACTATACATACCAAAATACCTATCTCAACGACATTGTGGTCATAATAAATAATAAACTTGAGAAATTATAACAATTATTTCAAAAACTTCTTTACAACAAGTTTATATCCAAAGCTGTTCACTAAGTGCATTGACTTAAATAAAATACTTTAAACTCCAAAACAGTATATCTTAATCTTCACAGATATAACATAGGTACATGTGAAAGAATTAACTAAAAAGGAAAATCATAGATTTTATGTTCTGGATCGAATTTTTAACCGAACTACTAATTTATATTGAAAATTAGATTTCCAATACGACCAAATCTACATCTCAAGATGTGACTAAACTTGAAAATCCTCTACAAGCAACTGCCAGTCAGAAAGTATTCCCTGAACGACCGGAAAAAAAACATATACATGATCATTCCAAGAGTAATATTCACGTCCATAAGATCCAAGCCCTATCTACGGGTTAAAAATATTGTGATTATTCTGCGAAGGATAGTTTCCAACCTACACAAATTGAATTTGAAAATCTTATAAGTGAAAAGCATGATCTGTTAAACGTTTTCTTTCGAAATGTATTGCGCAAATATATCACATATTTCTGATAAACTTCGTCTTCTCATTGCATTATCGAAGTTTTCTTTAGAATTATAACATTCTAATTTGACAGCGTTTTTCAGTTTATGAAAACAAGGCTGGGAAATCAATTTAACTAAAAAAGCACTCATCGGTTATAATGCATTAGAATGAACGGGAATATCTTACTAGTCCGTCCGGATAAAGGAACAGAAATAGAACCAAAATATCACAGCTAAGTAACCATTTGAATCTCTATACTATTACTGTTGAAAAAGTATTAACTAATCAAGTTACTGCCACTTTTCATACATATTTTTCTTATTCTGAGATTTTGTTGTCGGTGTCAAGTAAGGAATTGAATTAAAAATGAGAAACTGGAGACCTTCTTTCTAACGGAATAATTTGAGTAAGTAGTACATTTGTGGTTCTAGTTGTTTGATAAATATATGAGTCTATAGAAGAATAGAAAGAGATTACATGACAAAGTGATCCTACATTTGAAATGTTTAGAGAAGTTCGCATAGTAATCAAGAGGTTACTGAAGAACGGGAGAATGACAGTAACCGCTTGTGCACTACTAAGGTGTTGACAATTTAAAAACTCAAGCCTGAACTCCACGAGGGACCTCTTGTCCTCCCATGTGCCTAATCCCTCTCTCCAGTGAAGTCCAAGTCTTGTTTTTCTTTACATTCTTATTTTGTACTTTTAAACCGTAATCAGTTATTTTAATTATTATTCGCTAACAATTGCTCTTGATTACTATTCAGTTGTTATTAATGTTCTTCACATTTGTTTCTCATTTCTTCTTCATATCTGTTAAATGGACAGTTAACTCACGTATTCCTAATATGTCAATTATTTTCCTCATCTTATACTTTTCCAACCTGTCGATCGTTACACAACTTTATTTTGGTATTTCAGATGTCGGATCACTTTCATCATGTAATTTCTTTCTATTCTTTTATAGACTCATATATTTATCAAATAACTATAAGCACGAATATACAGTTAGATGAAATGATTTCATTGAAAATAAAATTTTCTTCGATGTTATTTACTAACACAATGTGTTACATTAATTAGCGTTAGATGAGATTGGAACTAAAGCTTTTGACAGTTCTTAACATAATCATGCCAATTCCAGTTATACAGTAAGCCTAGCCAGTATTAAATGATTTTTAGATAGATAGAAAAACCAAGTCATTCATTTCAGTAAAGAATCAGTCAATGCACGTAAAATGTTGAATTCATGTGACTACTTCATAGTATCAATAAGCTACATAAATTTCTATTAAATTATCTCAAGCGATTAAAAAGTTAAATTCCGTTAAATATTCAAGTATATAATAAATAAACAACTATATACGAGTGCACAACGTTTATTATCAATAATCATCTATTAGAAAGAACAATATTAGTTAAAATACATTTGTAAAAAGTGATTATAGCCAAAACAATGCAGTGTTGTAGTAGTGTATATCACACACTAGTCATCAAAATAAATAGTGATCTGCCAACAAGCGGTAAATAAAAGCATTAGTTGTTTTTTTTTCAGATAATTAGTAAAATTTATAGTTTTTCCCAATCACTTATCAACAATACCGGTAACAACAAAAGAAAAAGAAGTTGGATTGAAAAGCAATCTTGTTAATGAACACTTCGATAATCTATATCACGTAGTAAAATATCAAATTATTAACAAGAGAACAGAGATATGAAAATAGCTCATAGTCAAACAGTAAAAGCAAAACTGAAAATACCTGATAATTAATGAGGTATGTTAAGTAAAGATCGTGGAAAATTTTATAGAAAGTATGACAAAAGCATTTCCGAAATTAAAACATAAAAATAACACTCAAGAGGTTAAAACCTGATTAAGGCTTGTTGTTAAATATATTCAAAAAAAAATTCGCACTCTCCTTGGAAAATAGAACGCATCAAAACAGCAATAACTGATCCAGATCAAACGCGCAACCTACAAAACAATAAAGCCTACGGTAAAAAGTATCTTCACTGTTTCGGTATTGAAATTACATCGTTTTATTGGGCAGAGCATATCGGATGTTCACTTGTAGATTATTCATAAAGATATTGAACTTTGGTATGTAATGTATGAATTCTACAAATATATGAGAGCCACACCTCACGTTAACACGACGAATACAGAAATCGAGAGGATTAGAATCAAAATCAGTAAGATGGGAAAATGATCACGGGAAATATAATTCAAACAGAACAAATGAGATATATTGTTTTTGGTGGAGTTTTGTTCTCTGAGCTGCTGTTCTCTGAGATACATTGTTTCACTATAGAAAATGGGCAGTTATTTAATGAATTAAACTTTTTAACTCAACCACCGGGTGCCTGGGTGTGACCTAGGTTCTAAGTGTGAGGGGTAATAATACTATCCGGTTGCCAAAAACGAAGTAGGTGGAGTGAGGTTCGAACCTCAGGTTTAGTGGCTGACAGTTGGACGCCTTTAGCGTTAAGTCACCGTTCCACATCAAATGAGCTAATGATATATTTCTCATACCAATACGTTACTTAAAAAATCTTAATCACTACCTTACGTCACAATTATAATGGAAAATCGGACACAATAAACAATGATCTAAGAGGAAAACCATAATCTGGTCAACATTTACTTATTGTTAATGAAACAGATACAAATATTATCAATAAACGAAAGAAATGCTATTTATTTCAGTAGACTAAAAATTCAACATATTATAGTACATTAAAAAGTTTCTTTCCAAGGCGATTGACCAAACATGCAAAAACTTGTTGAAAATTTAGTAAAGTGACAAAAACTTACCATTTTGTTCATCAGGAGTTTTCTTACTTTCTCCAATGGAATTTGTTGGATTTTCGTTATCAATAGGTAAACGAGTGCAAATAGACTTTTTATACGGTTCAAAAGACATAATATCACTTTTAGTAGATGAACAAATGTAAAAGGGATTTGATGTCCCACCGGCTAATGGATCGGAGAAACTCAGTGGAAGACTTTGATTTTTGGCTTCTGGCACATTGATCAGTTCTGACCAACCCGTTTTTACAAAATCAGAATTCATTAAAGATTCATTCCGATGAATGTCGAGAAGTCTATCCAAAGCTGAATTATTCAAGATTTTTAACGAGGAGAAGCAAAATAGGCCTGTAACAGCGAGACAATGTTTCCTGTTTTACGAAGACGATAGAATAGAAGTTTACTAAATTACAGCACAAAACAGAAACTATAAACAATCTACAGATGGCTCTTTAAAACAAAAATTCAAGTTGAAAAAATATATTGGACTTGTCACTTCCAACAACTACGTGTTCCTCAGCTAGCGGTGTGTGTTGAAACGAAATAGGCTCTTAATGAGACAAAATCAATTCTTCACAAGATATTTAATGAATTCATTAATGGGAGGGCGGGGCAAGTAACAAACTACTTGTTAGTAGGTGGACAAATCGTTAGAAATTTCCTTTATGTTAGTAAATTAGGTCTTTTCTGTGAACAATGAAAAGTTATTTGAGGGGAGGTAAATTAACGATAAATTCATTTGCCCTAATAAGTTTTAATACTAAATAATCAGTTGAAAATCCCTTACAGTGTAAAATATAGAAAGGTTTTCTATGCCAGACCTGAGAATATAGCTATTATTTTTAGAACAACAAACAAAATAGAAACTGTTCCAGTCAGTCGGTCGTCATCAACGTAGGATATGTTTAGGAAGCTTTATCTATCCAAGCAGGTATAATATCAACACGAGATGAGAAGCAAGAGAGGAATTAACTTAATCTGAAATGAAAATCGACAAGAGCCAATAAAGTGAAATTAAACCGTATCAACTATTTAACTATAGCTCCACAGCGAAATTACAAAAACACAGCATTCCGTTCAGTAAAAAAGGGAGAAACTAACAGTAAAAACCAACATGTACAAGGTAAACAGAGTCTAGAGAAAATAAACGAAATGAAAACACGAATGGTTAAACTGTTTATTTTGTCATAGCTTTATCTAAATAGATCATATCAAAGGTCACAATCGTTCACAAATAATTGTTTCAGACTTTTTTAAAGTAACTATTACACGCAATTACCGTACAGCTATTGCTAGAACTAAACAAGCTTAACAACGTATAGCTTAAAAATTTACCATATAATGGTTAAATAAACTCCTTCAGTTTAAAGTACGTTCATGCTAAATACTTAGAGTACTCTAAAAGTATTTACGATTGGTATGCGGAATTTTAAATTCTCACAGATGACAACGTATAAATTATAAAAGTAAACACTTCGTCAGTAACAATGTGACTCTATATAAACCGTAGATTGGACAAATTAACACTTTTTCTAACAATATTTTAAGTCGACACTATATTTGTTGCTAAACCCTGCGGTGTTGTTGTCTGGTTTAACTAATTTAATCTTCATCTGTCCCGTACTAAGTATATAGCCTAACTTTAGATTTGAAATAGAAGTTAGAATTGGAAAATTGATCATTAATACTTCAGTAAACTTCATGTGGGTAGTTTTATAATATTTATGTTGATATGTCTGGCAGTGATTTCATTCTAGGAACAGGTAAAGACATTTTTTTCAAATTTACTAGTTCTAGGAATGTTGTCGTTCCTGATTCACTTTGTGGAACATGTATTTTAATTACTTTATTATTATCCCGATCGAAGCTGCTACCTTGACGTGGTGTGGTCGGGCTTGCCTATCGTGATGACCCAACTGAGCTATATTGGCTGGAACATATGTTCCTGTAGGTTCTACCATGCCAGGCAGGTCGATTGGTGAACGGTAAGACTAAAAGCAGCAACTCAAGGTCTGAAGGCGAAGTCGTACTGCTGACTGTACAGAGGTGTGATAGCAGTAAGGTGTTTCCCTCAGACAACCAGCATCTGCAGCGATGCTGCCTTCCCTCAAGGAAGAGTGGGGTTAGAAAAGATCGACCCTAAAAATGTCACACCTCACCTTGCCTCACGAATTTCCGTCTCCGGCGGTAAGGCCCTTTGAAGAACGGAGCTAACACGTCAAAAACTTTCCACAAAAAAACCGTGCGCGACCGGCCTCAAGCAGTTGTCCCTTGGGCTTTGTGGTCACGCTCCCAGGTCGTTAAGACCAATACTAAACCAATTTCCTTTTAAGGTTCCTCCAGAAGAACCCTTCCACGATGTGGGCAGCCGGGAACTGACATCAGCCCTCATACCCGTAACAGCGCACGAGACCAAGTTGGTCACATTCAAATCCCACCTACACCTCCTAATACCTCTCTTATATCCATGACTAACCCTCCTCACGTCTCTTTATCACCTCGCACCGCTAGGGCAAACACTACGAGTACGCGGAACGCTATTCTTGGTCTCCTGAAACCACGCTCTAAACTACACGTAGGAACTTTTAACGTCCGAAGACTGTGCCAAATAGGACAGCAGGCTTCCTTAGCTAGGACTTTAGAATCCCGCGCCATCGATGTGTGCTGCGTCTCCGAGACGCGCATACAGAATCCGAGTAGCGTCATTCACTTGACCTCACCATGCCAAAATAAAGAACCGATTCGATTCACAATTCGTGTATCTGGAAGCCCTGATTCTGCTTCCCGTGGCCTCGCCGGCGAAGGTATAGCATTGAGTTCTAGGGCAGAACTAGCTCTCGTAGACTGGATCTCAGTGGACAGTCGTTTGTGTGCTGTTCGACTAAACGGAACAGTAAGGATCCGAAAAGATAGGGACACTCGTCGTTGCCTCTTCGTCGTCTCTGCCTATTCTCCCATTGACTGCAGAGCAGATGATGTAAAAGATGAGTTTTACAGAAAGCTCTCCGACCTTCTCCGAAAAGCTAGGCGCTCTGAAGTAGTAATAGTGTCCGGTGACTTTAATGCTCAAGTAGGTAAACTAAGAGAAAGGGAAAGACACCTGGGTGGATCTTATAGCATCTTGGCTCAAAGAACAGATAATAGCGACCGTCTGTTGCAGCTATGCTCAAATAACCGCCTGTTCCTTGCAAATACCAACTTTAAGCATAAGGAAAAACATCTTTTAACATGGAGATCCGCCAATTCGTCCCAACGTTGGACCCAAATACATCACATCGCTATCAGTCACCGATGGAGGGGTTCGATAGAAGACTGTCGCTCATTCTGGAGCACATGCTTAGATTCAGATCATGCTCTCGTACGAGCGCGTATTTGCCTGCGTCTTACTGGACGTAGGAAAGACGCTGCAAGGAAACCTCTTAGGGCCCTACTTAATGATAGTCAAGCTAAGAGTATATTTCAGGAGCAACTAGAAAAACAGTTAGGCAGCCATGTATGTGATGCCCACCCTGATGCAGCATGGAATGATATCCGAAAAGCTGTGGAAACAGCAGTGATATCTGCTAGTAAGGTAAACCAGAAGGTTAGGGAGCAACACTGGATCTCAACATCATCTATCGCACTGAAAGATGCTCGGAAACTCATCCCACCTGGCTCTGAACATAATGAAGAGCGGAGTCAGATTAAGCGCAAGCTGACAAGAAGTCTACGCAATGATCGTGAACAGTGGTGGGTAGCGAAAGCAAGAGAGATGGAAAAGGCAGAGGCAATAGGTAATAGCAGACAATTGTTCAGATTTGTTAAGGAAACCGGTATTAGGAACCCGACTGTTAGCGAAACACTCTCAGAGAAAGATGGACACATTATACATTCTCAATCCAGGAGATTGGATCGATGGGCAGAACACTTCAGGGATCAGTTCAACTGGCTTTCAGCCACACTTCGGTTTCCCACGATCTCCAGTCAACCTGAATGGAAAGTTAATGTAGGTCCTCCGTCTCTTTACGAAGTTGAGAAAGCTATAGAAAATCTGAAGCGAGGGAGAGCAGCAGGCCTTGACAGGTTTACTCCTGAGATTTTTAAGGATGGTGGTCCAGTATTAGCAATGAGATTAACCGAGGTCTTAGGTAGAATTTGGGAACTGGACGTAATCCCATCTGACTGGTCTCAATCACTGATTGTCCCAGTCCATAAAAAAGGACAAAAGTCCTCTTGTGACAATCACAGAGGAATCAGTTTGACTAATATAGTGTCTAAAATATTAGTTTCAATAATACTTCGATGCCTAATGAAAGCTTGTGAAGAGCAGATTAGAGAAAACCAGGCCGGTTTTAGACCTGGACGTGGTTGTATAGATCAGATATTCACACTACGTCAGGTTCTAGAACACAGACACACATTCAGACGCCCCACAATGGTAGTATTTCTCGACCTTAAGGCGGCATTCGACTCTGTTGATCGTAAGGTTCTATGGCAGTGTTTGTCACTGAAAGGAGTACCAAAGATGTACATTAACCTTATAAAGGCTTTCTACTCGAACACAACTGGTCGAGTGAGAGCTTATGGCGAACTGTCATCAGAATTGATCACCTCAAGTGGTGTTCGTCAGGGCTGTCCACTCTCCCCATTCTTGTTCAACTTTGTCATTGACGTACTTTTAGAGATAACACTCTCCTCATCTAAATTTCCAGGGGTTGAACTTGTACCGGGAGGTTCACTTGTTGACTTAGAATATGCAGATGACATAGTTTTATTTGGTGAAGACGCTGACAAAATACAGTCTTCTGACCACTCATAGCAACAATGCAAGCATGTTCGGGATGCGATTCTCCCTCTCGAAATGCAAAACGTTGCTTCAGGTTTGGGTAGCATCGACACCCGAACTAATGATAGGGAGTGAAGTAATTGAGCGTGTCGATCGATGCACTTATCTTGGAGGTCTCATCAGCCCTTGTGGTCTGATATGTGACGAAATCTCAGCACGGATACAGAAGGCTCGACTAGCTTTTGTTAACATGTGTCATTTATGGCGTAGGCGAGATATCCGTCTATCAACCAAAGAACGTGTTTACTGCGCAGCAGTTCGTTCCGTCCTACTTTATGGCAGTGAAACATGGCCGGTAAGAGTAGAGGATATCCGTAGGTTACTAGTATTTGATTATAGGTGTCTTCGAAATATTGCTCGTATATCATGGGACCATCAAGTAAGTAACGCAGTTGTTAGGAAACGGGTACTAGGTAAGGATAGCAAATCAATTGATGAAGTAGTGAAACTTCATCAGTTGAAATGGCTGGGGACATGTGTTACGTATGCCCAACAACCGACTGCCTCGACGTGCGATGTTCAGTGGTATAGGAGCAGGTTGGAAGAAAGCTAGGAGCGGCCAGATTAGCACATGGCACAAGTCCATGAAGTTACTGACAAGTGGACTGAGTCATGTTGGTAGGTGTAGACTACCTGGTTGGGGACCGCGAGATGATAGCAACCGATGGTTGGAGATCCTGAATGACATGGCTCAAAATCGTTTGCAATGGCGCAGGTGCATCCACTCTGTGTTCTCCCAAATTCTAATCTTCTGAATTCTTCATGTCCCTCTCTTTTTTCTCTTTCCAAATTTATTTCAATGGATTATACTTCTTGAATAACATCTTCAAACCCTAATTTTTCTGATTACTGCTTATACTCTTTCTACCTCTACCACTACGGGATTTGAATCGACCACTGCATCTCTGTGCTAATGTGGTTTGGCAACTCGAACTGATGTACGTACGTACGAAGTTCTACGTTGTTACTGACTGAGTTTATTATTATTCAGCTGTTATACTATTCAAATGAGAACTTCCATGGACATATAATCATAATTATTGATATTTTAGGTCTATCCTATGAAAGTTAACAGTAAAATCAAGTTTGGGGAATCAAGTACCTGGGGCATTTAGCTACGACTGTAACAAAGCAACATCAATAAATGCAATATCTTCTCGACCAAAACTCATTGAAATATTTACAATATTTCATCTCGGTATACTGGTTTTGTCCTGAGGATATGAGATTGTTATCAATGTTAAAGGTCACATTTTAAAAATGCATGTGAGTTTATAAAGTTTATAATAATTGATGGGGCAATACTTTAATGTTTATTTGTTGTGTTCAACTAGTATTCCATAGACTGGAGAAAAAAGGTTACTTCAACCGAGAAATTCTGAGCAGTTCTTTTTAAACGATTAGCATCCAGGTCAATTTACATACTACACAATCTCAGTAAATTCGAGTCTGACCGTAATATGAGTCGTTTGTCAAGCACAGGATTGTGTAAACTTCGAAATATTTTGTTTGACTAACGATCTTCGCCAGCTGATTAGGTAGTGATATGCATATGGTTGAAAATCAAAAACTCCAAAGACTAAATCTAAATGTGCTCACATTTACGATACAATAATTCACTTTTCTAGATTTTGATTGTAGTCTATTTGATTTATCCTTACGATTTCAAACTAGTTGGTGAAAAGCTTGAAACCCATTTCACTCATAGTAAATTTGAGGCTAGTTGGTGAGGTTAATTTATTATCGATGAAACGGTATTGTTCACTAGTTTATTTTCTTTGCAAACCTGTGTTTTTCACAAATACATTTTATTCAAAAACAAACAAGTATATTATTCATAACCAGCTTATGATTAACAACTCAATAACAAAAAATAGACTTCTACAAAGATTTAACTAAACAATAGGCTACTTGTAAATAACTTACAAACAAACAGGATATTCAGTATATGAATTGGCAAGTACAGATGTTGATTTTCTATCAGTGTTAGTAATTTCACATCGAGGATAAGATGTAGCACAAGTTAAATGCTTAGCCAAATTAATACATCTCCATGCAGCGCTACTACTATTAGATAAACTTATCGCATCTACAACATGATTTGATTTTATAAAGGATGTATTTGAACTTTTAAAAGAATCACTGAGATAATTATTAGATTGAGATAAATGCATTGAAGATGATAGTAAATCATCCCAGCTGGTAAACAGATTTTTAACAGCTTGATTGCTGATTTCATTGGAATATAAACGAGATCGTGAAATTAAATAAGGTTCTTTGTATTCATTAGCAATATTTTCTATAAATGGATAACATACGGAGGATTTCGGTAAAATTGTAGAATACGACTGACAATAAGAATGTCTGAAAGTAGAATTTAAAAAATTTAAATATTTGAGTCATTTCATTGAGAAATATATTTATCTCAACTAAGTGAAATTAATATTTGCGGTATAGAATGAAAAATCTCTGACATTGTTCAACACTACAGTCAATTTCCATTAGATCAATAATAGAAAACAATAAAACAAAAACAGATCTTGACAAATTTATGATGATTTACTATTAACCCTTTCAAATCATTAACAGATCCTATTGGAACATAGTAGAAAATAATAAAGTAATAGCTTGCACAACTTAGGAAGTAATTCAGTTACTGGTCTTATTTTGAAGAGTTCTTGAGTATATGTACACTAAAATGATTTATTATGTGAAACAATGGGTAATATGAGTTTTGGAATATGATAAAATGGAAAAACAAAGTATCAACAGTTGCTTTGTGGTTTTCCTTTTCATCTTTGACTGATTATTTGTTGTAAATCATGATATCTTGAATGAATAATTTTGCATACGAATAACTGTGTTAATTCCTTGATATATTCAGTTAAGCCTGCCTATGGGTATGCCTCCTGACAAGTCATCAATTGGTTCAGATGCTCGATTATCAATTCAGCTACCTTAATCATCTCAATAAGTTATAAATCTTCATACACATAGTTCCCTTTTTCATTTTGAAAAGAGCAAGAACAAACATTCTAGCAGAATGGCATAAATTCATTTTTATTTCGTTGGTTGTCGTCAGCCTCTTACAACCTGTGATATTTAAAAGCATAATTACATAATGGGTTTAAATTACTTACTTACTTAAACTCTTTCTTGCATTTATCACATGATTGGGTTTTATCCCAACTATCTTCCAAATGATTAACCTTATTTTATCAACTGAACTTTACTCATTTTATTCCTATCAATGTTTACTTGTTTCTAGCCGTTTGAACTGTTGTCACAATCAATGTTGTAAATTGTTCTTTTACATAAGGTATATATTTACAATATTCAGCCTATTAAATTTATTTACACCCTTGCTAATCTATACTAATATGTCTTCAATATAACTCCAAACTAAGCCATCTCATGTAAGTACTTTAAACCCATTATGTAATTATGATTTAAAATATCACAGGTTTTAAGCAGCTGATGACAACCAACGAAATAAAAATGAATTCATACTATTCTGCTAGAATGTTTGTTCTTGCTCTTTTCAAAAGTTATCAATTGCAATATCATGACAAAATACCAAGATTACGGTCACCAATAGGTTACCCAATGTTGATTTGGAAGTGGTGAAAACTATTGATTATTTTGGATTCAATCAAATTTGAGAAAGTAGAATTCCAACTCTGAATATTTAAAATATTACCATATTTAACAAATTATTGAATTGTATTAAAATATACTACGAGCTTATTTAATTGAAAAATAGGCCCAGTTCATTTCAACCATATACTATTTTTCTTGGAATTATCGATTACTATAATCGATGTTTCACCATTTATGCAATTTAGTATTATAAACTGTCAACTTACGATATTTAAACCTTGACGCAAAACCAGAATATGATTAAACAACACAGATATGTAATTTAATTTACAGATATCATTAGCAATATATATATATATATATATATATATATATATATATATATATATATATATATATATATATATATATATATATATATATATATATATATATATATATATATATATGTATATATATATATTGGTATTAAAATTGTTTTATGCAGATATCTGTTTTAGGTTAGATCTAATAAAAGTCAGACAAGTAATTATAAGCAAATATCTTTCGTTCTCAATTACTAACACTTCAATTAACATAACAAAATAGTGAAGAGCAAAGCAATTGAAATAATATCACATTGATGGTAAGGAGAAACTAATTTAGTAAATTTCGATAGTGGCATCTATTAAATATTTTGAGTTAACAGATAAAATAAGTTTAATATTATTTGTCAAAAAGTGACTTTTATTATTATTTTTATTTTACATGCTCATCATTATTTTGTAATTCACATAGTACATTGACCTACTGTCTACTTTCAACTATTAGATTAAATTAAAAGGTAAGCTGTTAACAGAGGACATAGACATTTGTCTATAATATGACAAAAGAAAATCATAGATATATTTGTTTATCGAGTTCAAGTTAATGAACAGTTTTGAGTCACATTTTTTTGTGTATATTTTAAGTGAATCCTACTCAAATTGACTTTAGATTATGTTAATGGTTTACAAAAATTCTAAACAAACCCATGACTTCATAATGTGATCGAATTAAAAATTCAGTTTAATATAATTTGACCTTTAAAAGTACTAAAACATTTGTCTGATATAAATTTTAGTGTTATCATTATTACAAGTAAATCGCAAACAAAAAGACATTTCGTTTATTTGAATGAATATAACATTTAATAACACTAAATCATTTAAACAAATCAGTAAGAAACGATATTTCTATGAAACAGAATGAATTATTTATTAAGTAAAGAAAAAAAATCAGTCACAACGTAAAACGTAAACGAATAACACATCGGGTTTAAGTTGGCATACTCCATTAACACGGAGATACAATTGTTCAGACAAAATCACGAAGTAGAGTTAGTAATAGTATGAGTGGTAATAGGAAAGGTTAGGCATTGAAGATACGATTCTAGGAAATGTAAATCAGTGAGATCAAAACAAAAAACAATACGAGGAATTTAGAATTTGGAGGAGGACAAAGAATGGATGCACCTGCACCATTGCAGACGATTTTGAGCCATGTCATTTAAAGTCTAGAATCATTGGGTACGATAATCACACGAACCCCAACCAGGTACTCTATACCTATCAACATAGTCCAGTTCAAATGTCAGTGACTTCATGGAATGATGCTGTTTTGGTTTAGCCACTCCTAGCGGTGGTTGGGCATACGTAACAAATCCCAAAAACCTCAGTTGATGAAGATTCATTACCTCATTAATCAATTCACCATCTTCACCTAATACCCTATTCCTAACCCAGGCTTTGGTTACTTACTTACTTACGCCTGTTACTCCCAATGGAACATAGGCCGCTGACCAGCATTCTCCAACCCACTCTATCCTGGGCCTTCTTTTCTAGTTCCATCTAATTCTTGTTCATTTTTCTCATGTCTATCTCCATTTCCCGGCGTAATGTGTTCTTTGATCTTCCTCTTTTCCTTTGACCTTCAGGATTCCATGTGAGGGCTTGTCTTGTGACACAGTTCGGCGCTTTCCTCAATGTGTGTCCTATCCACTTCCAGCGCTTCTTCCTGATTTCTTCCTCCACTGGGATCTGGTTTGTTCTCTCCCACAGTACGTTGTTGCTAATAGTGTCCGGCCAATGGATCAGAAGTATTTTGCGTAGACAATTGTTAATAAACACTTGCATCTTCTGGATGATGGCTTTCGTAGTTCTCCAGGTTTCATCCCCATACAGTAGAACTGTCTTGACATTTGTATTGAAAATTCTGACCTTGGTGTTGTTTATCAGAGAGTTGCTTTGAGCTCCAGATGTTCCTCAGTTGTAAATATGCCGCTCTTCCCTTCTAATCCACGCCTTCATATCTGCATCAGATCCACCCTGTTCATCAATAATGCTGCCCAAATACGTAAAGGTTTTTACATCTTCCAAATCTTCTCCGTCAATTGTGATTGGATTGGTGCATTCTGTGTTGTATCGGAGAATCCTGCTTTTCCCTTTGTGTATATTGAGACCTACTGCTGCTGAGGCTGCTGCCACACTGTTCGTTTTCTCCTGCATCTGTTGTTGCGTTTGGGATAGAATGGCCAGATCATCTGCGAAGTCTAGATCGTCCAACTGCATCTTAGATGTCCATTGTATCCCGCGCTTCCCTTCAGACGTTGACGTCTTCATGATCCAGTCGATCACCAGGAGAAAGAGAAAGGGTGAGAGTAAGCAACCTTGCCTAACACCGGTCTTCACTTCAAACGACTTTGTCAACTGTCCTCCATGCACAATTTTGCAGTGTAATCCATCATATGAACTCTGTATGATATTGACTATCTTCTGAGGCACGCCGTAGTGTCGAAGAAGTTTCCATAGTGTTGTTCTGTCCACGCTATCAAATGCCTTTTCATAGTCAATGAAGTTGATGTAGAGTGATGAATTCCATTCAATTGATTGTTCCACAATGATCCGTAGAGTTGCGATTTGGTCTGCTTTGGTTACTTACTGGTCTCAAAATGCATGAGCGATACCTCGAAGATGCCTATGATCAAATACTAGTAACCTAAAAATATCCTTTATTTTTAATGGATACGTTTCATATCCATAACGTAGAACAGAGCAAACCACCGCGCAGTAAACTCGCCCTTTGGTTGAAAGACGGATATCTTGCCTACACTACAACTAATATAAGCAGGCAGAAGCCAATCAAGCTTTCTCATTCTGTGCTGAGATTTCGTCAGACATCAGACCCTTGATACTGATGAGACTCTCAAAATAAGTGAAGAGGTCGATACGTTAATATACTTCACTCCCTACCACTAATACAAGCGATGACCCAAGTCCATCTTGAAGTAATATTTTACACTTGGAGGGAGAGGATCGCATCCCGGACATGCTTGGAATGTTGTTTAAGGTGGTCAGAAGACTGCATTTTGCCAGCGTCTTCATCAAACAGGACTATGTCATCTGCGTGTTCTAATTCATCATGTGAATCTCCTGGTTGAAGACTAATCCTTGAAAAGTCAGACGATAAAAGTTATTTCTAAAAGCGTGTCTGCGACAAAGTTAGACGAAAATGGGGAAAGCAGACAACCCCGACAAACACCATTTGAAGCAATCAATTCAGACGATAGTTCAATCGACCCGAAGTGTGTGAGTAGAGAGCCTCTACCAGGTTAGTGTACTTCTTTGTTACATCTTTCAATGTCAGACACTACCACAAAACCTCACGATCAACGGAGTTGAAAGCCGGCGTCCAGGTCTAAAATCAACCTAGTTTTCCCGAGTTCGCTCTCCACAAGATCTAGTTAGATTTCGAAGTATTATTGTGGCTAATATTTTAGACACTAAATTAGTTAAATTGCTTCCTCTGTGATTGTCACAAGAGGACTTTCGTCCTTTCGTATAAACTGGGACGATCAGCGTTCGAGAGCAGTCTGATAGGATTACATCAATTCCCTAGATTTAAGTTGAGATTTCAATTAATCTAACTACTAAAACTCGACCACCATCCGTAAAAATTTCAGTGGTTGATCCATCAGACCCTGATGCTCTCTCTCACTTCAGATTGCGTATAGCCTTTTGGATCTCACTAAAGGTTGGAGTTGGTGGGTATCTGAAGTGTGGCTGAAGTCCAGTTGAACTATGTCGATAAATTATTCTTCTCATCGGTTCAATATACTGGGTTGAAAGTCAATAATAAATCCATCTTTTTCCGAGATAGTTTCACTAAAAGACGGAGTTTTAATACTTGTTTACTTGATACGTCTAAACAGTTGTCTACTGTTACCTATCGCTGTTGCCTTTTTCATCTCTTGTGCTTTCGCTACCCACCACTGCTTACCATCACTATGTAAGCTTATTTTAAATTTATGTTTAAGCTGCCTCCGCTCCATAACGAGTTTTGACGCAGACATGATGAATTTACGAGCATCTATCGGTTCGATAGACGCCACTGAAAATTCGTCCAAGCTGTGATCAGTGGGAGCGTAGGCAGAGACAACGGCATGTAACCTGTCTTTTCAAGTTCTTAGTGTCCTGTTTGGTAGAACGGTGCACAAGTGACAGTTTATTGGAATCCAGTCTAGCAGAGCCTGTTTTCCTTTAGGACTTAATGCGACACCTACATTAGCGATCCCGAAGGAAGAACCGGTGGGGTGTCCAGATACTCGAAGGGTATATTGTGATGGTTCTTCATATTGACAACGTAAGGTCAAATGAATGACTGTACTTTGATTCTGTATCCACGTTTCGGAGACATAGCATACATGGATAGCGCAGAATATTGGAATTCTAGTTAAAGAAGTTTGTTGTCCTATCTGACACAAGGTTCGAATATTAAAAGCTTCAACATATAGTTCAGAGCGTAGTCTCAGGAGACCAGGAATAACATTTCGTGAGCTCGAATCATTAGCATTGGTGAGGCGTGCTGATGAAAATGAACGATAAAACTTAGTCATGGAGATGGAAGAATTATTAAGAGGTGAAGAAAGCATTCGATCGTCAACAAGACGATCTCTGGTGAGGACAAAAGTATAAGTGCGAGTGTCACTTCCCGGTTGTCCATATTGTAGAAGGATATTTCTTCTTGTGGAACCTGAAAAAGAAGCTGAATCAATGGTGGTCGTAGCGACCTGTGAGAGTGATCTTAGAGCTCAAGGGACAACTACTTAAGGCCGGTCGCGCACAGCCTTTTTGTGGGAAGTTTCTGATGTGTTAGCTCCGCACTTCAAAAGGCCTTAGTGCCGGACGGAAATCCGTGGAGTAAGATAAGGTGTGACATTTTCAGCGTACACCTTTTCTAACCCCTTTCCTTTGGTTATAAGGAGGCATTGTTGCAGATGCTGGTTGTCCGAGGGAAACACTGCTATCACACCCCTCCATATTCAGTAGTACGACTTCGTCCTCGGACCTTAAATGGCTGCTTTTAGTCTTACCGTTCTCCAACCAACCTACCTGGTATGGTGGGACTCAAACAAACATGAGTTTCAGCCAGTTTAGCCCGGTTGAGTTATCACGATAGGCAAGCCCGACCACCATGTCAAAAATAACAACTACGGCCGGGCCTATACTGTGTAGGTATTTTCGTATCATATATGGCTACAGTAATCTCTCATTATTTCCAAACTCGATAAACAGAATTTTTCCCACACAGAGACACACTTCAATTGAGAGGTTAACCTTATGACAGCGCTCTGAAATTTTAAAACAAGGAAGATAAACTGAGAAGTCTCAAGGAACATGAAGTATTTATACGAAGTTTTGTTAGGTAAATGCACTGACAAAACATAGTCCTTTGAACAACCTTGAGAAAATGTTATAGATATTTTGCTAATGTAAAAGGTTGCGCCGAGACTAGTTAGCGTGAAAATCCTGGTTGAACATAGGAAGTGCAATAATTCAAAGTATCAACCAATTAACTTGAGTCTTATTTACTCTGATGGATTGACGGCCTAAATATTTCTGTACCATCAAAAAACATTTGCATAGCCGAGATGAGTTGTCTGTTTGTCAATTAAAAAGTGAAGGCGTTGTGTAGAACTTTGGTCTTCATTACCTAACGAATGTGAAACAGAATTTTCGAAAGTAGGGGATACACTTAACTTGTTAGTATTTGGTCACATATCTCCAAGAAACTGCCAGCAAATGGTGAAATCATCGAGTCAGTTAAAATTAAGCTTAGAGTAATAAGTAAAATGACATATCGGCTGATGTTGTTTGAATTTCCATCGACTGGGGTGGATAGGACACGTCAAACTCACTCGATAAACAACCGCCAACACAAATGTGCCATGCTGGCTAATAAGAGTAGGTATGAAGACGGTTAAGAGCTGTCAAAGAAAACACCATCACTTCGTGATGTCCTTCATTGCTAGTTCATATTGTAGATTGAAGTTAGATATCAACAACATTGGATGCCACCTTAGTGGTTTGTAAGTTAAGCGTTTGCACGCCAAAATAAAATTCCTGGGCTCGATTACAGGATGCGGTGTCTTGGATACGCAGTGCTTAGAATTTTCATATAAGAACGAAAAGGCCATGTACTGTTTCTATGCCTCTAATGGTGATCCGAATACAGTGAGTTCATGATTTTAATTATGAATACAGTTAACATATTTTTTCGTGTTATTGAAAAAGATTCAGCGAAGATTTTCCTTTCAATGAAATCATTTCATACTTAAAAATTAATAAAGATACAAAAATAATAGTTTATTTACTGTACGTATATTTCAACGGAGATTAATTCTATAAAGATTTAGTGACTCTTCCCACGATACGAGCCCACTAATCAAAACAAAATATACTTAGATATTGAACATCTCGTTAATGTTTGTGTGATATTGAGATTAAATGATACAAAAATAGTTTTATTTAGACGTAAATCTACTTTTTATCTTTAAATGAAGTAAGTAAATGAACACTTAAATAATCAAACATTTGAAATAGAGCAACTCAAGTCGAAATTTCAGCTCTCGAATGTAACATCGGTTATACATTGGAGATAGAGTGTAACCTTCATTTACAACTGATTGGTCAATGAGTAGGGATCGATGTCGTGTTTCTCAAAACCTTCTTAGTGTTCACCAAATTCTGTCAATCAAGTTGTAATGTGTTCACTAGTTTAACTTGCACTATTCTAAGATGTAGGATAATGGTTTAAGGTAGTTGACACGGTTTTCTGTCGACTACCTCAGCTCATCACCACCTTACAGTAACTTTCTTATAGCGCTACATCGATGATGAACATCTAATTAACTCAACATGTGAATACGTCAATCTAGATACGAACATTTTATGAGACTCATATGTTTGTGTTATTGAATATTATTTTAGTACTAATCTCCACAAAGTTTATATATTTATTTAAATTACAAAAAAAGTTGTAGAATGATAATCTAGTTTTCCTTGGACTTCAAAAATCCAATTAATACATATCAATATTTATGATAATAAAAAAGAAACTAAAACTGACCGATCTGAAACTCCGTGTTTAATTCCCCAAGCTTTAGAATCTAAAATTTTAAAAAATAAATGATAAAATCTCTTAATTTGTATGTACATTTCCTTTTTTCTGTAACTGAAGCAACTCAAATAATTTTACAGCATTTACTTAAAAAAAAAACAAGAAAAAACTAAGAATGAGACTGAGAAGAAAAAGTTTAAAGCGATTAATCACGAGATTTAATATGAATATAAAATTGTTTTTCGGAAAAATACATTAGTAAACTGACCAGGACGAACTGTAATGTAGGCCAAATCATGCACCATACCCAAGGAATTCTGAACTTTACACTCCACAATTGAATCTTCGGTAATGTTATGTTCCATTTCAACAACAATCTTAAAGTCATAAAAAAGAGTTATCAGGATATTTTAGTGGGTGAATACTTTTTTGGACAAGATAATTATATAATATTTAGGTATATGTACAATAATTCGATTAAATAGAGAAAATATACAATATCTAATGATTAAACAGTGCATTAGATTAAGTTTTGAATATGCTTTTCATCATCCCAATAAATCAGAACACATTAACACCTGATGTAAATCTTCATCTGCACCGTTTGTCATTATTATATTTAAAAACTTGGGAAACTAAAATTTAATACAAAAAGGCGTTTTTAAATTTTTAGATCATCTACGCAATATGATAAAATCAAGACATTACACTGCAACGAAACACTTGTCATAGATAATATTGGTCTTATCGGGATGTCGGGTTTGTGTATTTTAGGTCAATGAGAAAATCATATTACACTTTTCCTGAGAATACGTCTCGAAAGACACCCCAGTAAAATTAAACATTTTTCCGGAAATGAATTTACTGCAAAGCAAATGTTCACTCATATACATATACACTGGTTCGAAAAGTAATGCATCTTTTGAAACGACAAATATGTATGAGAGTAATAGATAAGACTATGAAAACAATTCGTTTTCAAGTGAGGATGAATTCTGATCAAAAAGTCGACTATACAATATCGTACTCTGACACAGTTCTTGCCATCGCATTGTAGTAAAGATTCTCGTACTAAATAAATGGGATGTTTAATCAGTAAATGAAAATATAATTTAAAAACGGATGAAAATTAACTTCCTGGAATGTGTAAACAAATAGTTTAGGCGTTTAACATTGAAGAGACACAATATTTGGTATTTTCAGAATGGAGTTGTAGAGATTGGTGAATTTCACTAAAATCATGAACTGATCTAAATTACTATTGAAAACCTAGGAGTACTGGGTAGCTTTCTCATTCTAGTGTGGGACTCCTGGGTAGTGCGTATCCACGACCTTGCGGCTCGAGATCAAATCAAAGACCTACGGTTTTGTGCAAGAACGCTTAACCTCTGTGGTCGTGTGACTTAGGTGGGTTCATAATTTCAATAAAATTCAACAAACTCCACAACCTCATACTGGAAACTATCATGTACTGATTAGTGACGAGCTTTGACAGGAAAGTTCCGGAATTCTAGTGAGGAGCCGTGACTAGTGGAGCTAATCACTGTCGGGTGTGAGGCAGTTACCCATCGAAGAAAATCGAAGATGGTCGCGCAATTTCTTGGATTGATGTCAGACATTAACACCGTTGGATCCCGTCTTAGTGGTCTATACGTTAAGTGTTCACGTGCGAAGTTGAGGGTCCTGGATCCAACCACAGGATGCGGAGTCGTTAATGTAGTGTCAAGGAGTTCGGTACAAAAACGATACGGTCATCCAGTACTTCAAGATTTTCAATGGTGGTATAATTTAAATCAGTTCATGATTTTAATAAAATATTTGATAAGATGTATGTACACAAGATAAAAGTAGAAAGATTATCTGAATTCAACATTGTGATTTACCTGATTATTGAGTATCATTGTATTCTCTCTAGGATCAGTCCCTCCAAAAATGCATGGGAATCTGTAGATAGACCCCCAGTCTACAGTAGCATTATGCACTGTCTCTGCAAGAAATGCTTTAACTGTTAAAAAAATATAAACAAGTTCAAGTGCAAGTAAACCTAAAAAACTACAAATGATTATGAATTATAATTAAACAAATTAGATCTCAAGTGAATAACCAGAGATCAATCTGTCTCTACTGACAACTTTAACAACCACCTTCTATAAACAGATATCAAACTTACTGATTCGCATTTCTAGTATGACAATGTATATTAACTGAGACTGTTGAGGAAAGTAATGAACCTAAAACAGTAGCTTTCCTTAGCAGTACTTAAAATATATATCGTTGATGACCTAACAGTCAGGTGCTTGAGTGTATAGAAAAGGCCTTGTTACATTACTTCTGAAATTTAAGCATCCGGAACTGACAAAAATGACCACTCTGTGTAACTTTTATAAAATAATCATTTTTGACAAGTATAAACTCTGAGAGCACGAAGACACTGTCTGAACTGACAATCACTGGAATAAAAACTTACAATTAACTAAACGGATCACAGACAAATTTCGAGATGCATAACTGTCGGACATGCTAAAACCATGACTAAATCAACAAATATTGTGTATTACATTTGTTAGATTACTCATTTTACTTGGACTGAGACTAATCTTAAGACTGAGGGATTAGCAAATTGTTTCCCTGTACTTGGATATTTGGACAAACAAATAACTAAGATCGAGCATAAACACAGAAATTAATAATCATATTGAATCCCGTTGGGATATTTCAATGCCCTTACAGTACCATACAATCATTTAACGAACTCCATAAATCAAAAAGAAAATAAGTTGGAATTTCGACGAAAAGATTAGATAAACATTAAGTTACAGTTTCCCGACCGTTGTTGCTACCTTGACGTGGTGGTCGGGCTTGCCTATCGTGATGAAGCAACCGAGCTATACTGGCTCGAACAACCGTTCCTCAAGGTCCTACCATGTCATACAGGTCAGGTGACGAGCGGTAAGAATATATAAGCAACAAACTCAAGGTCCGAAGGCGAAGTCGTACTGCTGACTGTACAGAGGTGTGACAGCAGTAAGGTGTTTCCTTCAGACAACAAGCATGACAGCAATGCTGCCTTCCCACAAAGAGGGGTGGGGTTAGAAAAGGTCGACCCTAAAAATGCACACATCACCTTACTTCACGCATTTCCGTCTCCGGCGGTAAGGCCCTTTTGAAGAACGGAGCTAACACGTTAAAAAACTCCCACGAAAAGGCCGTGCGCGGGCGGCTTCAAGCAGTTGTCACTTGGGCACTGCGGTCACGCTCTCAGGTCACTGAGACCGCCTCTAATCCAATTTCCTTTTCAGGTACCTCCAGAAGAACCCTTCCACGGTATGGGCAACCGGGAAGTGATAACCGCCCTCATACCTCTAACATCACCCAAGACCACTGTATTCATAATCAATCTCCGTCTTCAATTCCTATTATTCCTCCTACATCGACTTTCAACTCTAAATTTCCCCTTTCGGCTTCCCCCTCAAGTGTCACCATAGCCAAAAATTCTAGTGCTCAAAACTCTGTCCCAGGTCTACTGAAACCTCGCTCCAAACTACACATCGGAGCCTTCAGAAAGCCAAACGTCCAAACATAGTACTCGTAGCAGGTGACTTTAATGCCCAGATAGGTAGTTTAAACCAAACAGAAAGACATTTAGGTGGGTATTTTAATATTCCGGCACAACGAACAGATAATGGTGATCATCTGCCGCAACTGTGCTCAGACAATCGTTTATTTTTAGCAAACACAAATTTTAAGCATAAGGAGAGACATCGTCTAACATGGCGACCCTCTACATCAAACCAACGATGGACTCAAATAGACCAGTCCTGTAGCAGCAATTTGCATTTAGAGGGAGTGAAGCGCATTCCAAACATCCTGGCATTGTTGCTCAGTGCTACCAGAAGACTCTGCATTTTATCAGCGTTTTCACCAAACAGGACTATGTCATCTGCGTATTCTAAGTCGATAAGTGGACCACCTGGATGGAGATCAATACCCGAGAACTCAGTCGACGAGAAAGTTATTTCCATCAGTAGATCTATGATGAAGTTAAACAAAAATGGGGAAAGTGGACAGCCTTGACGGACACCACTTGAGGTTACAAAAGCAGATGACAGTTCGCCATAAGCTCTGACTCGACTAGTAGTGTTCGAGTAAAGAGCCTTTACAAGGTTTATGTACTTCTGAGGTATGCCAGAATGTTTGGGATGCGCTTCTCTCCCTCTAAATGCTAGTTGTTGCTTCAGGACTGGTCTGCGTCAACACCTGAACTAAGGATAGCGAGTGAAGTAGTCGAACGCGTTGACAACTTCACTTATCTTGGAAGTCTGATCAGCCCTAATGGGTTGGTGTCTGACGAAATCTCAGCACGGATTCGAAAAGCTCGTTTGGCTTTTGCCAACTTACGTCACCTGTAGCGAAGGCGAGATATCCGTCTATCAATAAAAGGACGAGTATACTGCGCGGCAGTCCGTTCTGTTTTAATTTACGGCAGCGAAACATGGCCATTAAGAGTAGAAGGCACTCGTAAGCTATTAGTATTTGACCACAGATGCCTTAGAAATATTGCTGGCGTCTGCTGGGATCGCCAGGTAAGTAATAGTGAGGTTAGACGCAGGGTATTAGGAAATGATGGTAAGTCAGTTGATGAGGTTATGAATCTTCATCGACTGAGATGGTTGGGCCACGTGTTACCTATGCCTGAATACCGATTACCACGACGTGCAATGCTATCCGGTATTGGATTTGGTTGGAAGAAAGTTAGGGGCGGCCAAACCAAAACGTGGCATCAGTGCTTGAAGTCACTAACTTCTAGTCTGAGCCATGTTGGTAGATGCAGACTACTTGGTTGGGGTCTGCGTGACTATAGTAACCAATGGTTGGAGACTCTTGGTGACATGGCTCAGAATCGATCACAATGGTGTCGGTGTATACACTCTCTATCTTCCCTTAAACTAAGAGATTAAAATCACTTCATATCTTTCTTTCTCCGAAGTAATTCTTTCTTCCTGTACTATATCCTTATTGCAATCTTTCTTTTATATATTACCACCTCTGAATTAACTACTTTTATGAATCCGGTGTCCACCTTGTTGTGCTGATGCGGTATGGTAACCTGGACCGATGCATATATGTGCCTGGTCCTACGTTGTAGCTGACTGACTGACTGAAGTTACACAGTTTATTTATGATAAATAAATTACTGCTGTCAAATTAATTAACAAAAACGGATGAGACTAGTCATGAAACCTTTTTCAGCTGATGATTGAAATAACCGAACCTGTAACCTAGATTATATGCACCTTTTGCCACCCGAGTGGTATACAGATTCATCATTTTTCAAAATTAAGATACGCCGAAATTCCATTTACTGCCAAAAGTGACTGTTCTAAAGATGATGAAGTATTTAAAAACAAATTCGGATATAAAAAAGGGAATAAATGAAGTAGAAAAAATACTCCAAGAACTGAAATTCAACTATTTTACTCATTTTCTTGTAAATAAAAGCTCCGAGCCAGAATGTCCATTGAAGTACTACTACCAAATAATTCTTGCCTTCCATTTCGCCCCAATCCTAAGTAACCATTGACATCTCAACAGAATAAATGGAATTAAATTCATTCAGATTTTCCAGTATATGATTAAATATGATTTAAGAAATGAGTTCTTATTAGGGATCTAGGTTTACTATAGAGATCATAAATGGCTACCATACATGTAAATAATATTTTACAAAAAAAATAATTACTTAATGCTAACAGGCTATTTATCAGATGATCTTAAACACACACAAATATTACATACCTATTGGTACGAAGTTGTACACAAAAATAAGAGATGAGTCATTCGTGCCGTTCGGATAAGAATTGTACGAACGACAGCTAAATATTCTATCTGCATTTTCCATTCGAAGTCGAAAGTCTATACTTCCATTAGAGTGCATAGTAACATTATGTGTAGCAAATTCCATTGGTTTTTTGTTGTCGAGCCACTCATAAACACGGTATTTACTGTCCCCGATTCCACATGACAAAACAACACGGTCACCTACAGGTGCCGATATCAATTTGTATTTTGGTTTTGATGTTTCAGTGCATGAAAGCGAACAGAAATATACGAACACTGAAAAAAAGAAAAAGAGTAAGCGAAAGCAACATAAAGTTGAAGGTAGTTGACAATTAACTTCGACTTAATTACATGCTGTTGTGTTTTGGGAGTATGCGAAAAACCGCAGAAGTTAGAAAAATCACTCTTTTGTGAGTCGTTAATTGTGAACTTAATGAACTATGAGAATGAAGGCCGAGAAGTGTAACTTGACCATTTCAGGTACCTCCAGAAGAACCCTTCCACGGTATGGGCAACCGGGAAGTGATAACCGCCCTCATACCTCTAACATCACCCAAGACCACTGTATTCATAATCAATCTCCGTCTTCAATTCCTATTATTCCTCCTACATCGACTTTCAACTCTAAACTTCCTCTCTCGGCTTCCCCCTCAAGTGTCACCATAGCCAAAAATTCTAGTGCTCAATACTCTGTCCCAGGTCTACTGAAACCTCGCTCCAAACTACACATCGGAGCCTTCAACGTACGCACCCTATGTCAAATCGGTCAGCAGGCTTCCTTGTCTAAAACCCTAGAGTCTCTTTCCATTGATGTATGCTGTGTCTCCGAAACACGCGTACAGGATTCCAGTGTGGTCATTCACTTGACCTCACCTCGGCAAAACGGAGAGCCAACGAGATACACCCTGCGTATATCTGGTGACCCGTTGGCCAGTCCTCGTGGAGTGGCAGGTTTAAGCATAGCACTAAGCATGAGGGCGGAACAAGCACTGTTAGAGTGGATCCTCGTTAACAGTCATTTATGTGCTGTTCGGCTAAACGGCTCTGTAAGAACTCGGAAGGATAGGGACACACGTCGTTGCCTTTTGTCGTTTCTGCCTACGCTCCCACTGACTGCAGCTCAGATGATGTGAAAGATGAATTTTACAGAAAGTTATCTGAACTTCTTCAGAAAGCCAAACGTCCAAACATAGTACTCGTAGCAGGTGACTTTAATGCCCAGATAGGTAGTTTAAACCAAACAGAAAGACATTTAGGTGGGTATTTTAATATTCCGGCACAACGAACAGATAATGGTGATCATCTGCCGCAACTGTGCTCAGACAATCGTTTATTTTTAGCAAACACAAATTTTAAGCATAAGGAGAGACATCGTCTAACATGGCGACCCTCTACATCAAACCAACGATGGACTCAAATAGACCAGTCCTGTAGCAGCAATTTGCATTTAGAGGGAGTGAAGCGCATTCCAAACATCCTGGCATTGTTGCTCAGTGCTACCAGAAGACTCTGCATTTTATCAGCGTTTTCACCAAACAGGACTATGTCATCTGCGTATTCTAAGTCGATAAGTGGACCACCTGGATGGAGATCAATACCCGAGAACTCAGTCGACGAGAAAGTTATTTCCATCAGTAGATCTATGATGAAGTTAAACAAAAATGGGGAAAGTGGACAGCCTTGACGGACACCACTTGAGGTTACAAAAGCAGATGACAGTTCGCCATAAGCTCTGACTCGACTAGTAGTGTTCGAGTAAAGAGCCTTTACAAGGTTTATGTACTTCTGAGGTATGCCTTTCAATGACAGACACTGCCACAGAATCTCACGGTCTACTGAGTCAAATGCTGCTTTTAAGTCAAGAAAGACCACCATTGTCGGACGCCGATAAGTATGCATGTGTTCTAAGATATGACGAATGGTGAATATGTGGTCGATGCAGCCACGACCAGGTCTGAAGCCAGCTTGGTTTTCCCGTGTTTGCAGTTCACGAGTCTTAGTTAGGCGTTTGATAATTATCGAGGCTAGTATTTTAGATACCATATTAGTTAAACTAATCCCTCTATGATTGTCCGAGGATGATTTTGACCCTCTCTTATATATTGGGACGATAAGTGATTGCGACCAGTCAGATGGAATAATGTCTAACTCCCAGATTTTAGCTAAAATATTAGTCAACCTAATCGCTAAAATTGGACCACCATCCTTAAAGACCTCTGTAGTTTGTCCATCTGGACCAGCTATGGCTTTTTGAACCTCAATTAGAATCGGGGAGTCTATTTCAATATTCTATTCACGCTGTCTGGGAATGGTGGGTAGCTGTATCGTAGATGAAGGCCATTTGAACTGCCCCTTAAAGTGTTCCAACCATCGTTCTAAACGTCTGGACTGAGAGCAGATAAGTGTCATATTTTTTGGCGATTATCTCGCACTTGGGTTCTTAATTTTGGTTTCTGTTATTAGTCTGAAAAGCTGTCTTGTGTTACCTACAGCCACTACCTTTTCCATCCCTTGCTTTCATCGCCCACCATTGCTTACGACCGTTCCGTAAACTTTTGGTTAGTCTACATTTGTTCTGTCTTTGCTCGTCATCGTGTTCAGAGCGTGGTGGGGAAGTTTACGAAACTACCAGTGCAACAGATGTAGCATAAATCTACTGGTTTTTCACAACCCTTTGATTCGAATCACCAGTAGATGTTGCTGTTGTTTCCACAGCTGTTTGCATACCTTTCCAAGCAACGTATGGGTCAGCCTCGTTTTCCAGATTGCTAAAATGTAACTCCAGTTGTTCCTGGAATTTACCTTTGGTTTTCTCATCGCTGAGTTCAACTTTGATGGGTCTTCTTAATGTGGCTTTTCTATATCCAGCGAGGCACAAGCGAATGCATGCTCCTATTACAGCATGATCAGAGTCTAAACATGTATTCCAGAACGAGTAGTCTCCTACCGATGACTGATGGCAATACGGTCCATTTAAGTCCATCGTTGGTTTGGTGTAGGGGGTCAGCATGTGAGACGATGTCTTATGCTTAAAATTAGTGATTGTTAGAAACAAACGATTATCTGAGCACAGATGCAAAAAACCGTCAGCATTATCTGTTCACTGGGCCAGAATACCACGACACGCACCTAAATGTTTTTCTTATTTGGTTTAAAGTTACCCACTTAGGTATGAAAGTCACCTGCAACGATTACAATGTCTGAGCGTCTGAAGAAGTGCAGAAAGCTTTCTGTAAAAGTCATCCGGGCTGCACTCGTTGAAAGCATATGCAGAAACGACGAAACGGCAACGACGTGTGTCGCTATCCTTCCGAGTTCTTACGAAGCTGTTTAGCCGAACAGCACATAGGTGACTGTTTAAGGGGATCCATTCTAGTAGTACTTATTCTGCCCTCGTACTAAGTGCTATGCCTACACCCACCAGTCCACAAAAACTAGCCATCAAGTCGGCAGATAAATGGAGGGTATATCTCGTTGGCTACCTGTTTTGGCTAGGTGAGGTCGTCAATGACCATACTAGGATCCTGTATGCATGCTATGGAGAAACACCATACATCAATGGTACGAGATTCTAGGGTCTTAGCCAAGGAGATCTGCTGGCCGACTTGACATGGGGTACGTACGTTGAAGGTTTCAATGTGTAGTTTGGAGCGAGGTTGCAGTAGACCTGAGACAGTATTTCGCGCACTAGAATCGTTGGCTATGGTGACAGTTGGGGAGGACGTTTAGAGCCGATAGTCGAGGTAGGAGGAATAATAGTAATCGAAGAGAGAAATTAATCATCAATACAGTGGTCTTAAGTGCTGTTAGATGTATGAAGGCGGTCTTGACTTCCTGGTTGCCCATACCGTGGAAAAACATTTCTTCAAGAGGTACATGAAAAGGAAATTTGGTTAGTTGGTCTTAGTACACTGTATCTGGAAATATACAAAACGACACTAAAACCAAATAGTTTGGATTTTAAGATCTATCGTTAATTTACTCTCTTGGAGTAATTATGGTATATTTGTATCAGTAAGCTGAACCATAAAAGAAAGACCTAGTTTTATTGAATACCCTCTGATGAATATACAGTAATAGGAATAATTTCCAAAACAATTCAAATAATTTGGCGTTCTTACCACAGAAAATGCAAATTGTTGAGTTTGCTTTTGCAATACTTTGATTGAAGTCATCCAGAACATATAATAGTTTCTTAAGGTTTCAAGAAATCAGTATGTAACAACTAAATCTTTACGATAAAAAGCAGTTTACCAATTGTGGATTTGGTTACCTTTGATACAATAAAAAATAATTTGTGTCCATAATCAACCATTATATTTGTAATTAAGATACGTTTGTGGTGAGTCATCAACCAAAGAAAGATATCACACACAAGGAAGTTGCATTTATACAATAAGTAGAGTTTTCATAGATGAAACTAATTAAATTCCTTTTAGGTAAGGCTAAAGCTTCAAGATTCTTAATTTAGTCGCATGAATTTCCCGAATAGCACTAACGACTTCCAGAGACGGCTGTCCATGTACAAATTAGGTACATTTTAAATACACGTATGACTTTTCTTGTCTAAGCGCATTAGTCAAAATCAGCCTACTCTATCAACCATAATTCTATAGGGTTTTAACATAACTGACTGTATGCTAATTCGCGTAAAAACTTCGCGGCCTCGAGATTTCGAATATTAAATACATTAGTTAACGGACTAACAATATAAACCGGAAAAGACCTGAGCAATATCCATAATTTACTGAATGTTGCTTGTTTTGTCCCCAGAAAGCAAAGTGCAAATTTCTAAAAACACTAAAGCACATTATCTGACAGCAAGAGACCATAAACCACCCGAACTTAGATTAACTGAGATTGCACAATTTACTATGATTTGATGCTCTCGCCGGAAATCTGTAACAGATTCCGCAAGTAGTTTGGAGATATATAGCGATATTCACAAGTTATTAAATACACAGCTGATTACTGACTGAGAAGAGGTAACTTAAGAAATAACCTGTAGTTGAATAATATACGAGTTAAAGCATCAAACCAACAGTTTATGAAACAAATGTGTAAAAGCAGCTGTCAGACATACATTGTAAGGGACAGTGACACTCACTGGTTACATATACTGGTTTGGATGAAACGGAGAATAGGAGGAACTAAAGAATACCAACTATGTGATTTATGGCTACCAATATCTTTATATGTGGTACCAACATATCCGTTAAGTTTATGGAGACGAGTCCATAAGTAGCCGAAACACAAAATAACCGAGCATCTGGTTCATCGTTTACATTGACTGTATCTTTAATAACCTTAGCATGAGAGAAATAGCCGTACAATTCCGAAAGTTACCGGATTCAGCAAGACCATTACATTTTTCAGACTTAATACTGGATCAGCAGAGACCCGTTGACGAAACTTACAATAAGTAATACACATAGAGCAGGAAGGTGAAACACTAATAACTCATGAGGCACTGCACTGACAATTAAAAAAGGAGAAAATCTTAGAGTTGATGTTGGGCAGCTTAAGGTGGATCGCGCTGAGCCTCCGTCGAATTGTGCTAAAAATAATACATCGAGAATGAACGCTACCGTATGCTGAACCGAAGTGGACAGTAGTCGCAACGAAATCTAGGCTGTGTCTTTGTCGCTTAGGAGAATGCTAGCAATGGAATCCTTGAGAATTTTGTATCATATTGCTAAAAACTAAACCTGACATGAATAACGTCATCATTCAGTACTGAATATCAATATAAACTAATCGATGGAATCTTATGCATGTAAACCTAACAGTAATCACGAAGTGAATAAGCACCCTAGAATCGAGAATATAGCTATAAGCAATCATGTTAATTTATACTAGCAACCATGAATATTTATAATTAGTGAACAAGGTATTGAAGTTGAAGGTTCTCTTACAACTTATATGTCACGGTCTCGAACATCACAGGAGTAGTGTGTTACTCTTAATCAAATGAACGCATACTTACTAATAAACACGAAAAATGTGGACCACATAGCTACTGAAATGTATAGACAGTGTCATCATAACACAGGATTTTAACTAATCCGCGTAAAACAAGCATTATGTTAATCCGATGCACAAGTGAAACTTTCAATATTCAAGAGCTTTGAGACAAGCCGCAATATGCTAATTGATTTATCAGGCTTCGCATTCTGATGTGAACAGACGGTGTTCTGTTTTAAGGTTGCTTTCAATGACAATATTTACTAAACTCTCTACCCAAGTGGTTCAAATGATATTTGTCTTCATTTTCAATAACTAGTGTAGGTTCATCGAACTATATTAATCCCTGTAGTTTGTAACACTTCGGAAGCCCAATCTCGTTTCGAATATATCAGCAGAAAGTGCTGGCATAACGTATTCTCGTAGAGAATTCCAGCAACTCACTACTCGGTGCGAGAAGCGAAACTCCAGACGTTGACGATTTGATCTCGGTTTTTGGACTTTCTTCGTGTGTTCTCTCAAATACTCAGTCCCAGACAGAAGGACAAGATATGACATATTACTAACAAGTTCATCGTTTAATATACGATAAGCCGGTATTAGATCACCACGTAATCTACGGTAAGATAACGAAAAGAAGTTGAGGTGTCTCAAACTGTTTTCATAAGATAAGTCAGAGAAATATTTTATCATTTTAGTCCCTTATTGTTGGACTCGTTACGGTATATCTGCCTCATACTTGAAACGGTGATTTTCTGCTTAAATTCTATATTCTAAACATTTATTCATTCATGTACTGTAAAGACCTACGAATAGCCCATAATACCCTAAAGCCTTTGGCGGTAGCAGCCTTACAGTTGCTCGTATTTTGAGTCTGCTGCTTATTATGACTCCTAAATTTTTACATTTCATTGCTTGAGGTAACACAACTCTACATATTGAGTAGTGATACGAATCACAATATTTAATTGCATCACCACGCTCATGTTAAAATTAACTTCTACTGACTAGCCTTTCATCCATACCACCAATGAATTAAGATAATCTGGTTATATTATTCTGTCTGACCAACAGTGTGTGGGTCTCCGTGTTTTTATATCACCAACGAAAAGTAGAACGGATCACGTTGCTACAGCTGGTAATTCATTTACATAAGGTAAAAAGAGGAGAGGAGCAAGAATTGTATCTTGGAGGACTCCAGTTTTTACAGTTTCCCACTCTGATAGAGCTCCATTTACCATTACCCGCGGTCTCATGCCACTGAGAAAGTCACTCATCTAGTCCGCGACCTTATAATAGATTCCAAAACTTTCCAGTTTTAATTTAAACCTTGTATGGATGACCTTGTCGAAGGCCTTACTTAACTCCTTGAAAATTGCATCTACAAGGTTATTTCGATCTTTTGTTGTAATCAAATTTACTCTTGCAATGAGCAGTTTTGTCAAGTATGACGAGCCTTTTCGAAAACCGTGTCGTCCCCTGGATGAAAGATTATTCCCTTCCACAACGTTTATAATAGCCGTCTGAATAATCATTCCTGTCAGTTTTACAACTGAACTAGTTGACTAACGGGTCGACAGTCACTAACTAAGTCTCTACTTCTCATCTTATACACCGTACTGATTATTGTGTCTTCCCAGACTCTTGGCAGTCTGGACTACTGCAGTGACATGACAAACGGTACGGTTATGGGTTCAGCAATTAAAACTGACAGGGCTAACATATTTCTATGATAAATGTTGTCAAGACAATTGGACTTATCAGGTTTTAGACGCTGAAGCAGTCTTAAGACAACACCTTTCTTAATAACTACAGGGTCCATCAACAAGCCACCACATTCACAATTAACCGCTGGTTGTTCTTCATTGCTAATAGAAAAGCTTCCGCTTTTTCGACATCATCTCATGTAAATATTAACGTATCCTATTGTACCACAAGTGATGGGATCCCACCACTTCTCTGAGTTCGCCTTTTTATATACAAGAATAACCGTCTCGGAATATTTTTGTAGTCTCTAATCAAAAATTTTTCACATGACTGTCTAGTCTCACTTACCGACGCTCAACATGCATTCCTAGTCTTACAATAACTGGATCTGTACTGTTCTGAGCCAGTAGAGATGAACATATTCCAATGCTTTATCCTACGTCTATGAAGTTTCTTAATCTGCTTAGTTATTCGTGACGAATATTTATTCGGTTTACGTAGAATTAGGCATGGTATAAATGAGGACGTAAGTGAACTGGGCTTGCCTTTAAAAATAAAACATGCTCCTTTAACTAATGAACTAGTATTTACTTGCCAGTCTGTTGTTTCAGCTTACTATTAAATGGTGGTATGTTTGCTCTCCATAGATTAGGGTGAGGTTTAGCCTGATTATATACTGACTCAAGCTGTAAACGTGAATGACAAAACAGCGATATCGCTGCTCGCTAACGGTGGAAGAATATTGTGATAATTAGGAGTATTTGCATTATATCACAAACTAGGGATCCCAGAAATAACGCGATTAGATCAAGAAGTATAAGATAAGCACAAACGAATGTACTGTATTTGGAATTCGGAATCAAACATTCAGCATATACAAAGGAATCATTAGTTCATTCAAACACCACGAATATCTAGATTGGTAATATCCTCAGTCGCATGTGTGGTTACTAAGTCTAAGAAAGAAGATCCCTGGTTAGAAACAAAATGTATGGGTTTGGATACATACTGTACTAAAGGATGCGCTACTGCCGTCATCAGGGGCCTCCTAACGAAAGAATATACAGATCCTACGGTGGCCATCTCGGTCCAACTAATATCAGGTGTATTAAAGTGTCCTAATATCAAGCATCTGTTATTCGCACTCCATAGCTGAATGTGCCCTAAAATAGTCATTAGCTAAGCAGATTGGGCCATGATAGATGACACCGAGTATAAATGTAGGACGTCTAATAGTGAGCTCACAGCCAATGACATCACAAGTCCCACTATCACGGGATTCGCAACCAAAGGAGAGGATATTTATATTATTGCCTATGCATAAAAAGACGCCACCTACTTTCCGACATTTATGTCTATCACTTTTTAGTTAGTGGTATTTGGATAATTCTGGGGTAATGCTGTAGTCGTGGACTAACCAAGTTTCCGTCAAGACTACAATGAGTGGCCTTAATTTGTCCACTAATGCAACTAGTTAGTAAAATTTATTTCTCAGACTACGAGCATTTGCAGATAAAACACCTAGAGAGAACGATCTGTCCACATAGGCCTTGGTAGCATTCGCTTTCAAGAACTGACTATTAGAAAACCCACTAAGCAGAAATTCCCCTCATCACTTTGCCGACGGGTTTCTAGTTCAGCTAGTACCACCCTTCTTTTTATTCCATTTTCCAGAGACATATTGGGTCTTACCCGAATGTCAGTAAAGTTGTGACTGCGAGCGCTCCTTAACAGAAGACCACGTTGCTTCTACAACCCTAAGACTAACTTAGGGAAACTACATGGTCAGATTCAACAGTGTCGTCGGCCCTCTTACCTATTCTTACCAATTTTTGGGCTTAAACTCTTTAAGAGTCATCTAATAAAACGCTACGGATAAATTCTCTGAACTTTTCCAAATCGTGTCTAATTTCAGGATTAGGGTCGTTTGATTCTAGTGAATTACCATAACATTCGATGAGATTAAGTTTTTACTAGCCACGATAGGGTGATATACTGTCTTGCTATCAGATTTGGTAGTGCATCACGTTGCTCAGAATGGGAGTCTACAAATGACTTGCTAATCAGGTGGGTGCCGCTCATGGCATCTTTCCTTCACTTCTTTGTCTGTATACCATCATTCAGTTTTTTTTAATAGGACAGCCACATCTGGACGATTACAGACGTTGACGGTTTTTGATGGAGTTTTTTTATCTGAGCTGGATGGTTTGGTCGTGGAGCTCATATCGTTCTTCTGAATGATATCATCAGCAGAAACTTCAGATTAAAGCGAAGTGTTCGAATTTCTCGACATGTGGTTCACAGAATGTCCTGTACACCTCGATGTTGATTGGTTCCTGTTTCATTCGGGTCTTCAGTATCTACTGTGGAAGCATGACTACCCACATCAATATCAAGTGGCAATTTACTGCTTGTAAATTTCAACAGAGGTTTCGCCGTTCCGTCTATTACGGTTTGGTGTTTAAGTCATCCTGTAACAACACATACTACACTGATACATTTTTCACTGTTAGTACTCTTGTAACCAGAGCAACACTATCATTGTTGTTACAGGCCAAAGACAGGAGACACATAGACCTCTGACTCAGTAACGTTTTATTCGTATAGTAAAACATACAAAACTGGTACATGTCCAGTGGTACTACTTTTTACACTCATCACATTACATTCCTTCCTCCACGTAGAATAAACAATTTGGAATTGCCAACAACTGCAATCGGATTAAGAAGGTTTAATAATAATAATATTAATATAGTAATAACCATCATATAAGCACAAGTGTCAGAATCAACGAGAAAGAATGTACCATAAGATAAAGTTAAACAATATTTCAAACCCGAATCGAAATATTTTAGCTAAAAGCAGACTAAGAATGCTTTTTCTTGCAAAACGTACAAAAAACGAAGTTAATCACAAATGCTAAATCGCTGCTCTTTTTTGAAACACGCGCTCAATATATGTGAATCCCTTCACTATTGTCTTCGCTTTTTCCGTTCGTCTTACTGCCTTCACACTTTCTTCTCTAAACATTGTCTTCGAGCTTTTCTACTTTGCTTCGGAAGCACTGTGTCAATAAATAAAGGTGCTACCGGCCGTGTTAGACCTTAGGATCAGTGAAATGTCTCTGAGAATTAATCAAATCTTCTGGCGACTGGGTCACTGAATGTCAAATTGTTCATTGAACGCCATCAAGGTCAAGAACAGTCAACGCGCGTCAGTTACTTGCATGCCATGGACTGATCCATGCGGTGGTGGTCTCAACTTCTCCCACTGTATCCACTTTTACTAATACATTCCTGTGATAATATCCTTTGCGTTATACGGTATTCAAAGCAGCCACAGT